CCTTGGGATTCTCCAGGCAAGAATACTAGAGTGGGTTGCCATGCCCTCCTCCAGGGGATCTTCCCCACCCAGGCATCGAACCTGCATCTCCTGCATTAGCAGGCAGATTCTTTACCACTGGTGCCACCTGGGAAGCCCCTGAATCTCCATTGCTGCCCTGCAAATAGATTCATCAGTACTGTCTTTCTGAATTCCGTACACGTGGGGTAATATGCAGTCTTTCTCTTTCTGACTTCACTCTGGAGAGGGTGGGATGAATCGAGGGAGTAGCATGGGAACATCCGTGTTATCATAGGTGAAATACACAGTCAGTGGGAGTGTGCTGTGGGACACGGGGAGCTCAGCTCGGCGCTCTGTGACCACCTAGAGCGGTGGGATGGGATGGGATGGGGGGGGGTCCAGGAGGGCGGGGCGTGTGTACACCTGTGGCTGACGCATGCTGATGTATGGGAGAAACCAGCATAGCGTTGTGAGCGATTATCCTCCAGTTAAAAAGAACAGACAGACACGGGCACAGGGGCTTGTACTTGGTTTCACTTTTTTATTGGATTCATTGACTGCATCCAAGTGACGTGACCACACCTAACTTCAAAGACAGCAGGAAAATGTCATCCCCCCGTGTCCCTAGGGAGAGCTCAAAATGAATGGGCAACACTAAAGGCCCCATAGCAAGGCTTTTAGAGCAGTTGGTGAGAGCTGAAGGGGTCTGGAGTGGTGTATGTACCATGTTAAAATTAAAAAAAAAAAAAGGATGGAAAGAGATCAGGGTTTATGATAAATGACTGTCATCCCTGCTTTGACCAGGTTGACCAGGCTGTAGTTTCTTCATCTGTAAAATTGTCCCACGGACCCCCTACTTGATGAATATATTTATTTAAAAAGTAAGGTTTGGAGCTGGCTTTAGCAGAGTTTGTATCAGGAATTTTAAGCTCTTTCTAACTGTTTCTTAGGTGTTTCTCTTCTTTATTCCTTAGGTGTTAAGTCACGGTAGTAGATACTTGCTTTTCTTCCCCTGGCTTGGGGGAAGGGAGGCAGAGATGAATGAGGATGGTCTTGGGGGAACAGATGCTGACCTTTCACAGAGCACTGATGCACCAGCTGTTTTTACTGGAGACAACGTTCTGTCCTCAGTGACACGTGCTACCTCTGCCTGGATTCCATCTGAAACAGCCCCACAATGTCCTTTTCATGTGGGTGAAAACACCAGCTCCCTTCACATCTGAACGCGCCTTGTTCCCACTGAACTGTGCGCACAAAGGGGAAAGCATGTTTTGGCTCAGGGACTAGCTGTTCATCAGATGCTGCCAGGCACTTTGGAGGACAAAGAAGGTGATGCTGGAAAAGGTCATGCTGTTGGGGACTTCCACTACAACCCTGCAGCGACACTTTTTCCTGAAAAATAAGAGTCTGAAGTGTAACATTTTTAGGGTAGTTATAGAAAAATTAGGCTTCAATGTTAGGGTGATATATCTTGGAAGGANTGCTGGAAAAGGTCATGCTGTTGGGGACTTCCACTACAACCCTGCAGCGACACTTTTTCCTGAAAAATAAGAGTCTGAAGTGTAACATTTTTAGGATAGTTATAGAAAAATTAGGCTTCAATGGTAGGGTGATATATCTTGGAAGGATCTTTTAAAAACTCTCTGTTAAAGTATAACATATACACAGAAGAGTACACATCTTGATGATGTTTCATGGGCATACCTGTGACATACACTCACATAACTGGCACCCAGATCAAGAAGCAGAATATGGTCAGCACCCACGAGACAACCCTGTGCTTCCTTCGAGGTGCTTCCCCTCCCCTCCAATTCCCATCAAACAACTCTTCTGACTTCTAACAATGTACATTAGTTTTCCTGCGTTTGTACTTTATATAAATAGAGTCTTTCAACTCTTTCATGTTTGACTTCTTTTCCTCAATGTTATGTGGGGCTTCCCTGGTGGCTCAGACAGTAAAGAATCCACCTGCAATGCAGGAGACCTGGGTTTGATCTCTGGGTTAGAAAGATCCCCTGGAGGAGGGCACAGCAACCCACTCCAGTATTCTTGCCTGGAAAATCCCATGGACGGAGGAACCTGGTAGGCTACAGTCCATGGGGTCGCAGAGATTTGGACACGACTGAGCACACAGCACGTGTGAAACTTTACCCATATTGTAGTGTGTAGTTACTGGTCTTTCATTCTCGTTGCTGGGTCATGTGTCACCGTGTGATTATCCATGTTTTTCATTCATTCTCCTGTTGACAGGTGTTGGGATAGCTTCTAGTTTTGTCCGTTGCAAACTGTACTGCTGTAACCATTTCAGGACATGTGTTTTGGTGAAGACAGGAATGCATTTCTCTTGAGAACATACCCACAAGTGCATTTTGGGGGTCACAAGGTGTATAGACTTTCTACTTTAGGAGGTAGTGCCAAATAGTCTTCCAAGCCAGTTACACGAGTTTACTCTCCAGCAGCTCCTAAGAATATTCTGGTTGCTGCATGTCTTCCCCAATACTTGGTATTTTCTTTGTGGAAGTTTTTCTTTTAGAAAAGCATCCTTACTTGATTGTTTTCCCATCTGAACTGATTCCTTCTCTAGTAAAATTTTTTAAAGGGGTGGGAGTGGGGGGGATAACTGCACCTGGCAAATGACCCACCGAGGTTGAGAAAACAGAAAACGAGAGCAAACATTTCAGTTGCACTGGGCGTGAGGAAGTGTGGTGGGTTTATTATGTGGGAGGATCTTAAGCTCTGTTTTTCTGGAATAACTTTAAAGTGATACATAAAGACAAAATGGAAGGTAATTACTTTCCAAGAGGAGATGAAAGATTAAAAATTTGCAGCTGAGTCTGTAACTCTTGAAGAATTAAAGGGGGGAGTGGGGAGTAAAATGAATAAAGGTAGTCAGTTATAAGCTTCTAATTATAAGATGATTAAGTCCTAGGTATGTAATGAAAAGATGAATCTCATATACACACATTGCATTTTTCCCTTTCCCTACCTATAAGTATTTACCTTTGACTTCCAGTATCTTTATCTCTTCTTTTCCCACCAAGTCCTCACGGGATGATTCCATGTGCTTTATCAGGTGCTGTTTCTTTAGGAGAATGTCTAGCTTATTGAAGTCTTCCTTAGATACAGCCAAGTGTTTTGTTGTAAACATAACAACTGCCAGATTGCCTAGGTTTGTCTGGCGTGTGCTGTCTCCGCTGGCAGACACCGTTTATAATATTTGATGCCGTTTCTCTTGTGGGATATGAATCTGATGACATTCAGAAATAACATAGACCGCAGCGGTGGTTCCTTCACTTAAACTTCAGTTTTGTGGGTGGAGTCCTGTTACTAGAATATATTTTCAAACCATGGCTCAAATGAGTGAGAAAAGAAGATGCATCAGAGAAAAAATAAAAAAGTAACAATGTTTTGTGACTGAAAAATGCTGCTGTGAGCCAGTTTAATATTGAAGTAGATCCTCTGTTCAGGCTCTGAGCTAACTTCTGAGCGTTTACTAAACTTCTCTAAGGAGATACTCATTGATTGAGTTCCTAGAGGATTAATCATAGCATATGATGACACATGAGCTGTCCCCCCAGCTTTTGCATTTCGGAGCCCCCAGAGTTACAGCAAGCCCACTTTGAAGTTATCTGCTCATTGGTGGGTGTCTCCCGCCAGTGTTAGTTGTCTTTAAAGCCCCTTTGATCTGGTTGTTCTTAGTGGCTGGAGTTCTCCTGAGTGGTCGTTATTTCTAGACTCTTCCCTGTGTTCCTAAGTCGGTAATACTTCCAGCTCCTGGATCTCCCATCCCAGCCCTAGTTGTGTATGGCTGCTTGGCTTAGACAGGGGACCTGAGGATTGGGGTCACAGCAGTTCAGTGGGGGCAGGGTTATCGCATTTTCCTTGGCCATAATATCCCTTGGCTTCACTGTCCCCTCTGAACTGACCCATCCCCTCTGGACACTGACTTTTTGCTTCATAGCAACTGTCAATAAGAAACCAAGCTATCTGAAACACCTACTAAAAACCTTAATTTATCTACTTATAAAAATAATTATATATTGGAACTATATGTCACTTTGTTCTGTGTTTTCCCAGTCTCCTGTAAATGTGTTGTCATACTTTAATTATTTAAAAAAATTAGAGGTTAAAAAAGAAACCAAAACTAAGCTATCTGTATAGAACTGTCCACAGACTCAATGGGCATGAACCTGAACAAATTTAAGGAGACAGTGGACGACAGAGGAGCCTGGCAGGCTGCGACCTGTGGGGTCACAAAGAGGTGGACACGACTTAGTAAACGACAGTGGCAGATAGAATTGTGACATATGCCGGTGTTTTGGTTTGGGCTGCTGTCACAAACTACCCAAGACTGGGTGACTTTATAAATATTATGGAGGCTGGAAGTGTGAGATGAGGGTGGAGACGTGGCTGGGTTGTGGTCAGGCACAGTTCCCTGGTTCATAGGCGGCAGTCCTGTGGATGCACGTGGTGGAAGGGGCTAGCTAGCTCTCTGGCTCCTTTTTCCAAGGGCGCTAGTCCCCTATATGAAGCCGCCTCTCCCATGACCTCCTAATGCCATCACACCTGGAGAAGGAAATGGCAATCCTCTCCAGTATTCTTGCCTGGGAAACTCCATGGTGGGCTTCAGTCCATGGGGTTGCCAGGAGCCAGACACGACTGAGCACACAGCCCCAGCACACTGGGGGTGAGGATTTCAGTGCTTGAATCCAGGGCCGGGGGCTGGACATAAGCATTCAGACCACTGTAACGAGTGCGCTTAGTAAGTGCATGAGCGGGTGGACATGGTGGCCTCATCCCGCCAGCCCCTGGGAGCGAGGGCTGGGCGGAGTGCTGTCTGACCTGCGGCGCCCTCCTTCTGTCTGTCTGCTCTCTGAGCAAGGTTGGCCTTCCCCGCGGGGTGTCTGGACCCCCAGCCAGGGCTCGCCGGGAACGGCCTGGCTCTCCTCCGCTGACCCGCGTGGTGGGCGTTTCTTCCCGGCCCCGGCCCGCCCTCGCAGACCACCAGCCAGACGGAGCTGGAGAACTGGATCACCGCCATCCACTCCGCTTGTGCGGCCGCTGTCGCGAGACACCACCACAAGGACACGCTGCGGCTGCTGAAGTCGGAGATCAAAAAGCTGGAGCAGAAGATCGACATGGACGAGAAGATGAAGAAGATGGGCGAGATGCAGCTGTCTTCCGTCACGGACTCAAAGAAAAAGAAGACCATCCTGGATCAGGTAACTGTCCGCCCGTGTGCAGACGGGGCCGGTCCTTAGCTCTTGAAAGGGGCGTTTCTGCTGCCTTGGAATCGAGAAATATCCTTGGTTATCTCCTTCTTGTCGGCCTATCACCCAGGCTGCTAGACTCTGTATTCCGACTCTCAGTTCTCCTCACCCGTTGTTCACAGTTGATTGTTATGAACTGAAGGGAACAGTATTACACTGGAGGAAAAGCAGGAATGTCATGGAGGGCCCTCCTGCTCCTGCCAGTGGCAAGCTGTGCTCAGGGATCTGGGTAGCTGGCGCGTCTGCGATCTCATTCCCCGGCTATCAGGGTCCCTTGGTGCCCAGCTGTGATGGGTCTAATTTCATCCCTGACTCCTCAATGAAGTTAAATCCCTACATTTAGTAAAGGCGGAGTGTGCTTTAAAAATATGTGTGTAATTGCTAGTATATGCAGGTAAGTGTATTTCATGCTGAAAAGGAAAGATTTAGTGAGATAACAGAACATTTTTGCCTTCTATTCAGGTGCTTTAAAGTCAGTGATAGAGACTTCCCTGGGGGTCCAGATGTTAAGACTCTGCCCTTCCAATGCAGAGGGCGCCGGTTCGATTCCTGTTACAGAACTAAGACCCCACATGCCATGTGGTGTTGCCAGAAAGAAAAAAATAACAAACACCAAAACTCAGTGATAGCCATTTAGCAGCATTTTGAAACTTTGCCTAATATGTAGGAAATAAGTATGTGAATAAGTCCTATTTTAAATAATTGGTCAGCATGTGATCTTCCATATTCCTATCTGTTCTTTCCCTCTATTACCCTGTTCTATATATTTTTTAACCAGAGGTGAAATTCACATAACACAGACTTAACCACTTTAAAGTGCACAATTCAGTGGCAGTGAGTACATGTATAATGTTGAGTGACCATCATCTCTTTCTAGTCCCAAATACTGTCTGCCTCAGAAGGAAACGCGATATCTTTTAAGCGGTTGCTCCTCTCTGCCCCTGGCATTCTGTCTCTGGGTTTGCCAGTTTCGGATGTTTTGTATAAGTGGAGTAGCCTAATATGTGACCTTTTGTGTCAACGTCTTTGACTTAGTGTAATGTCTTATAGACTGGTCCACGTTGTGGTATGCACACTCCATTCCTTTTATGGCTGAATATTATTCCATTGTGTATTTACACTGCAATTTGTTTACCCGTTCATCTTTTGATAGATATTTGGGCTATTTCCATTATTTGGCTGTTGTGAATAGTGTTATGAGTATGTGTTTATACTAACACCGTATTTTAAGCTGGAGTAAAAAGGTAGTTGTCAACCACTGATTAATACCCACATCACAGCCAGGATCCCTGGGCCTTCACAACATACCTGTTCCAGCTCTTACTCTTGCATTATTTTGTTCAGCCATCACATCAGCCTCAGGAGGTGGGTATTATTTTGCCACTTTGAAAAATGTGGAAACATCTTGGATCTATTCTGTGGTTGAAACCATGCATTCCAGAATGTGGATCTTCACCTTTAGTATTTTTTGTGGTCTCATCCTATATATTCAACCGCTCACCTGCTTCCAAAACTCTTGGCCTATTTGTCTCTGATTTTGAAATCACCTTGCTTTTCTTCTTCTCTGTCTTCCTCAGAAAAAACCACCCCTAGGTAAGTCATATAATTCTCCAGGGCTGGAATTCCTCTGCTTTTTTACTTCTTCTGCCTCAGGTTTGTGGTTCTGAGCCTGGAGCCAATGGCCTGTCATGGTTGCAAACATGGAATCTGTGATGGGAGGGAGCAGAGCAACTAAGGCTGTATGTTTTATGCATCATACTGAATGTATGACTCTAGATCTTTGCAGAAAAACATGTAAGCTATGGAAACAGTAAAATTGGACTTGTTATTACCTAAGAAATTTAGGGTACCGGTTATTTACCTTTTAGGATTAAAATTAATACCTTTGTAGCATGTGGATTTGTAACACTTAAGTGGGATAAAATTGTTAACATTTGCCTTCTCTTCTTCTTCTTCCGCTTTTTCCATGTTTTCACCACTGTAGATCTTTGTCTGGGAGCAGAATCTCGAGCAGTTCCAAATGGACCTGTTTCGCTACCGCTGTTACCTAGCCAGCCTCCAAGGTGGGGAGCTGCCCAACCCTAAAAGGTTACTTGCCTTTGCAAGCCGACCAACCAAAGTGGCAATGGGCCGCCTTGGAATTTTTTCTGTATCATCTTTTCATGCCCTGGTGAGTAGAAGTTAATGTGTTTTTGATAAATATTCATCTTGACTGTTAATCTTGAGCACGACTTGACAAGAGTCTCTGAAGTGGTTTTCCAGCTTCACTGCTCCGTGTGGCTTTCTGATGCGTCCTCTCTCAGCCATGGATGCAAGTCTTCGTTTGAATCTCTTTTGACATTTATTACTTAAGCTGGTCTTGATGGGCCCTAAATTATTGTGCAAAGAAAATATGAAAGGTATTACCTTAAGAGATCTTCACATGGGGTACTGGTGGATAACACGTGTCATTTTTAGGTGGTGTCATGCTTTCAACCCCAATACGTATTTTTTCTTTTCTCCTTGTGGATATAATAAGTGGAGAGCTGTTCTCTCAAACATAAATGTGTTTCTCTCACTTTCTCACATGAAAACACATGCCATATATTGAATAGATTTCTTTAGAAATCTTTTCACTTTGTCATCATAGTTTTGGAAGTGAAAGTGTTAGTCCCTCAATCATGTTTGACTCTTTGCGACACATGGACTGTGGCCCACCAGGCTCCTCTGTCATTGGAATTCTCCAGGTAAGAATACTGGAGTGGGTTGCCATGCCCTCCTTTAGGGGATCTTCCCAACTCAGGGATCGAACCTGGGTCTTCTACATTGCAGGCAGATTCTTTACTGTCTGAGCTACCAGGGAAGCCCCCATCATAGTTTTGGGTGACCATATATACCAGATTCATTTGAAGAAGGTCAAAACCTTCTGTATCTCTCAGCCCGACATAGGTAGTTGCTTGGAGAAGAGAATTTTCATCTGACCTCCAGAGCGGCAGATTGTGTATTTGTGTGTTTGCAATCTGTAATTTCAGGTACTTGCTAAATTGCAAACAGCTTTATGTACTTTGAGTTCCTTTCTTCTCAAAAATTGCTATGCGAGCAACACGGTTTTCGCCTATCCAAATGAACACCCACTGAAAATGTACTGCACCTTAGCACATTTGCTGTGAAATTGAATGTTAAGTCCCAGGTTCCAGAAACCGCCTTGGAGAACCTTTGCTGTGGGGCTCTGGGCTCCCTGTGTCAGCTGCACCCTTCAATTGAATTCAGAGCTGTAATTCACTCAGAGGCGTTTGTGTTCTTTATAAATAGATTAGCATCATCATTCAGATAATTAGGGTAGATTTACATTTTTAAAGAAGTCTTAAACCAATTTCTGGAGTTATTAGAACTGGCATCCTGATTCGTTCTACTAATTACAGCTCAGCTCTTGGTCTCCCTGACTACCACCTCTCCATACAGCTATTAAGTCTTATTTTTTATTGACAATGGGTCCAAGTGCTGTGATCAATTAATCTTGTAAACGGTCTTCAGTTTGTGGCTCTTGCTCTCTTTCTGTGAGACCTGGACACTGCTTTGTAACTTAACCAAATCTTCGTTTGCCTGTTCTGCAAAATAATTGCAAGAAAAATTCATGTTTATCACACTGTGAGAATACCATCAATTGAAGTAGCAGTCTTATTATTGAAAGGGCTTCCCTGGTAGTTCAGACGCTAAAAAATCTGCCTATATGCCAGAGACCTTGGTTCGATCCCTGTGTCAGGAAGATCCTCTGGAATAGGAAATGGTTACCCACTCCAGTATTCCTGCCTGGAGAATTCCATGGACAGAGGAGCCTGGCAAGTTACAGTCATGGGGTTGCAAAGACTGGGACATGACTGAGTAACTAACACTTTATTTCACTTTCTTATGTAGGAAGTTTGATACCCATGATGGTGCATCAGTGTTATTACTGGGTTGGCCAAAAAGTTTGTTTGGGTTCTCATGGAAAAGCCTGAACAAACTTTTCAGCCAACCCAATACTAAGTCTCAAGCCATCCAAATGGCTGTTTCCTTCTCCTGGGCTTGATAAACTTTGGGGAAAATAATCTTGCTGTCTCCCTAAAACTTCTATGCTTCTGTATTTTCTTCAAAGCCACTGAAGCTCACCTCTCCTGTGTGCACTTAGCTGCTCGGCTGTGTCTGACTCTTGGCAACTCCGTGGGCTATAGCCCGCCAGACTCCTCTTGTCCTTGGAATTTTTCAGGCACAAATACTGGAGCAGTTGCCATTTCCTCCTCCAGGGGATCTTCCCAGCTCAGGGTTCAAACCTGCATCTCTTGCTTTGGTCAGGCATATTCTTTACCACTAGTGCCACTTGGGAAGTCCCTTTAAGGTGAGATAATGTAATAAAAGCCACTGAATTATCCTTCCATAATTTATCTCCAGACCTTCTAATCTCCTCTGTCTCAATACCTATGATTTGTGTGTGCTTTTCTTTTGATGGGCAGGCTTTTAAACTCTGACCAGCTGACAATGGGAGTGGAAGGCTTAGTAACTTTTAGCTTTATTCGGTCCATGATTTTAAAGGAGAATGTTTAATTCCATATGTACCAGTCTCTGTTCCTTTGTTCTTGTTTTTTTGCTAGCTACATCTGTGATGTGTATCTGGGTGTTTATGTGTCATTGCAAACTTCTCTTTTCCATGAGGGGTTTCAGTGAGACCGGCCCAGTTAAGTAAGCCTGTTGGGTATCTGTTCCTATTTGTTGCTGTACATTCTACAGCAGATTCTGGGCAGGGAGTTTTTACTGTCTCATTTATTGGATACTTATTTTTTTCCTTCTCTCCTTGTCGTTTGACCCCAGAGAAATGTTTTTTTCCCTTGGGGTTGAAACATTCTTCAATTTAGCCTTTGTCCAGACATTTTTTTTCCTCTTCTTTTAAGTGGGAAGCATGGAAGGAGGAGGTGTCAGGGCAACAGGGCTAGGGGAGGAGATTCGAGCACAATTTAAGTTCCATTGACTAGGACGACTTCTCATCATGCCCAGTGATTTTCGGTAATTAAGTGAAGGGTCCCCACTGTACTCTTTGAGAGAAGGTTATCATTGTTCTTGTTTGCACAGATGAACAGAGTGATAGAGTAATCAGGTACGGGCCACAAAGAGAGGCATTGTCTGAGCAAAGATCATTGAGAAACTCTTGAGCTCTTGTCCAACAGTTCTTTTGCCAGCCTTTTTTTTTTTTTTCTTCTTCCATCTAAATCTCTTTGCTCATTTTGAGTCATTATTGTCTTGGGAGTAGCAGTAACTTTCACAGTTTATGAGGTCCCCAACAGTTTAGAGTAGTTACTCTCAGAACCTTAAATAAAACAGTCCATTTGTTAAACAGAACTAAACCAACTGGTCAGCTGGGAACTGAGCACATTTCTGGTTGTTTTAGTTTCTCTTCTGGACTCTGTTTTTCCAAATTTAGAAACTAGAGTTACTGTTTAGTTGCTGTAACCGTGTTCTGTAGGATCTCTGCTTCTGCTTTTCCTTGTTTGTTTGTTGTTTGTTTGTTCATTCAGTCAACAGATAAATGTGAGTGCCTGGCATGTGTCCATACTGTCCTCTGATTAGGGTTATAGCAGTGAACGGATCCAGAGTTCTTGTCCCACTGGAGCTTATATTTTTGTGGGAGAGATGGATAATAAGTAAGCAATTAGATAAACACAAGGGCTTCCCAGATGGCTCAGTGGTAAAGGTCTGCCTGCAGTGCAGGGGACCCGAGAGTCATGGGTTCCGTCCCTGGGTCAGGAAGATCCTCTGGAGAAGGAAATGGCAACCCACTCTAGTTATTTTTGGCCTGGGAAATTCATGGACAGAGGAGCCTGGTGGGCTACAGTTTATGGGGTCACAAGCATTGGACACGCCTTAGTGACTAAACAGCAATACCAGATGCACACACACGCACACACACACGCGGGCACACACACACACACACACACACACACACAGACAGACAGACTTGACCGTTCATTTCCACAGGCTCTGCATCTGGGGATTCAACCAACCATGGATTGGAAATATTCAAAAAAATAAATTCCAGAAAGTTCCAAAAAGCAAAACAAATTTGCTCAACTATTTCCATAGCATTTACATTGTACTTAAAACTAGAAGTTGTAACAATTAACATTGTACTTACTTTACATAGAATTTACATTACATTAGGTGTTATAAGTAAGCTGCTGCTGCTAAGTCGCTTCAGTCGTGTCCGACTCTGTGCGACCCCGTAGACGGCAGCCCACCAGGCTCCCCTGTCCCTGGGATTCTCCAGGCAAGAGCACTGGAGTGGGTTGCCACGATGTTTAAAATCCATAGGAGATGGTATGTAGGTTATATATAAATACTGTGCCATTTTATATAAGGTCTTGAGTATGGGAGGATTTTGGTTCCTTGGGGGGTCCTAAAGAACTAGTTTCCCATGGATATTGATGGACAATTGTGTGTGTGTGTGTGTGTGTTTGTGCATGCATATGTATCTGCCTGTATATGTGCATATATCTATTTATAAATATGAGACCACATGAACATTTTTTCTCTAGAATTTGTACCTTTAATACCATTTATTCAGGGGTTCTTAGCCTCATTTTGTGACCATAAGCTTAACCGATTTTGACATAGTCATGTGAGCATTTTTGTATGTTAGCACATTATCATTTATTCCTTTTACAATCTTTTTTTACCTTTAGCTTAGAAAGCGATGAAGAAGAGAAAATGTTTACATATTTAACATAAAAAGGTGTCCCTTGTTGTGTGAAGTTTGCTCCCCTAACACCTTGAGTATATTTGTGGTAAGAGCTCTCTCTGGGAGAGTTTTCCCACCATTGTCTCGAGTGCCACCTTCTGCCCCCGTCTGGGTTTGCCTATGTCCTAAGCTGAGAAAATGCAAGATCTTTCAAGCTCCCTCCTCTTCTTTTTGTTTGGGACCAAAACTTTCCCCCTAATACCCTCGCAGAGAAGCTGTTTTGATTCCTGTTTCTGATGGACGTGGGGGTCTCTGCCAGTCTACTCACTGGGGCTTCCAGGGTGTTTATCCTGTCGGTGCTAAAAATCTCAGGAAGGCGTGCCTTGTAACCAGTGTACCCGCCACTGAGGGGGCCCCCGGGTGTTACCCACCAGTGTTCCTCCACGAGAAGGCGGCCAGTTGGCAGTCATCACGCAGGGAGTTGCCCGTGTGGGAATCTATGACAAGTAGGTTCTGAGATGTTTACCTCCGGCAACAAAGAGTGGGTGGGGAAGTTTCATTTCAAGCCCAACTCGCTGAACCTCCTGGCACTCCCTCCTTTGAAAGGAGAGTCCGTGGGTGGCCTGCTGAGACCTCCTGGCAGAAGTTCCCTTAGGTTCCTGGGACTCTGCCTGCCACCTGTGGGATCAAGTTCAAGCCTGAAGGATTGCCTGCAAAGACTTTATGGATTTGAAAATCCGTGAAGTCTCAGAGCTCCTGCACCTATTGCTTGATGCAGGCGATCACAGCGGCGGATGTAGGTTTGGTGTGGTCCCTTCCTGAACATTTAAGTATTTGTCTGGATTCCTGGCTTGTAGCTCAAGTGTAGAGAATACGCCTGTAATGCAGGAGATGCGGGTTCAATTCCTGGGTCAGGAAGATCCCCTTGGAGGATAAAATGGCAAGCCACTCCAGTATTCTTGCTTGGAAAAATCCCATGAACAGAGGATCCTGGTGGGTTACAGTCTGTAGGGGTTGCAAAGAGTCGAACACAACTGAATTACTGAGCATGCACACTGGCGCCTTGCAGGTATCTCAGTGGAAGTTAGCTTCCTTTAAAAAAAAAAAAGTTTTCCCCTCCAAAGTTAAATTTTGTTTTAATAAAAAGATGAATATCACATTTTAAGTGTAGATGACAGAATTGCCAAATGCATTTAGTACATTTCCATTTTGTAAATAGATTATATACATATTTGCTTGGAAATAAAGTCTGGAAGGATGTAACCAAATATTAATGGTGGTAGTTTTCATGTTTTTGGAAACATTTTTTTGCTTTCTTTTGCTGTGTAAAATATATCCTATAAAAATAAGGAGGAAAACGTCTTCTAGCCTTTTCTATGCATATTTGAAATTAAATATTTTACAAAATCATGATTGAGGAAATACAACTCTTATTCCTGTTTCACCTAAACATAGGACATGCAAGGCATAGTTTCCCCATCTTTCATGGACCTGAATCCCTTCTGTTTTATTCTGTAATCCTTGAAAATGCTTCCATCTAAATGTCCTGAACTAGCTAACATGACCTTTTAGGAAAGAGGGGAGTGAAGGATAATGGAAAACCCCCTCCTTTTGAGGGTCCTTCTGGAAATTATAAATAACCTTTTTACTTCCCCTTGACCAGAACCTCATCACTATCCCATGCCCTGCTTCAAGGAAAATAAGTCCACTTGGGGCAGCCAGATGCTCAACTTTTTTTGAGATTTCTCTGACTAAGGCCAAGGAGTAATTAATATTGGGGGACGACCATCGCTTGCTTAATGAGGAAAGTAATTTTATGTAATTCTGAGAAAACGAAATAGAAGAGATAGGTAAATTTAGATTCAGTACGAAATCACAGGCACCCAGATGCACTGTTTTCACTGTTTTTGCTGACACTCAGTCACTGTTTTTTGTTAGGGGGTAGGAGCAACTCTGCGTCACTTAGAGAGAATCTCAAAAAAGTATGGTTATTTTAACTTGATGCTAGAGTTTGGGACTGTGACCAGAAGGGCATCTAATTTCTTGGAAACCTGGCATACATTCTGTTCCTGTTATTATGTATTTTTACTGAGCCGACTCATTGGAAAAGACCCTGGTGCTGGGAAAGATTGAGGGCAGGAGGAGAAGGGGGTGACAGAGGATGAGATGGTTGGATATCAACGACTCAATGGATGAAAGTCTGAGCAAACTCCGGAAGATGGTGAAGGACAGGGAAACCTGGTGTGCTGCAGTCCATGGGGTTGCAAAGAGTTAGGCATGCCTGAGTAACTGAACAACAGCAACTGATTATTTCAGACAGCGATTGAATTTGCCAAGCTTTCATTCATATTTCGAATCTAGAAAGGACCCTCAAAGTTCCTGTATATGTGAGTCGTGGATGAAAGGCTTTGGGTGGTGGGCTCGGTGTGGGCTGACATGAGACTTTTGGAGGGTGGGACTTAGTGGGGACTTTGAGGTCAGTGGTCCTGACTACATCTTGTTGATGTTCCCTCTTGCCGTCCTCAGGTGGCTGCCCGCACTGGTGAAACTGGAGTCAGAAGACGTACTCAGGCCATGTCCCGATCCGCAAGCAAGAGAAGGAGCAGGTTTTCTTCTCTTTGGGGTCTGGACACTACCTCTAAAAAGAAGCAGGGACGCCCAAGCATCAATCAGGTAGGTTCCAGGGTGGATGAGAAAGCAAGCGTAGGTTATTTGCACGGACATGTCACTTTGGGATGTGCATGCATTCGTGCATTGTTCCTTGATTGATACCCAGTGTGATACCACTTCAGCTAGCTGAAGCAAAGAAGTTAGTTGTGCTAGATGCTTTAAATAGATAATGTACACCCATAACACTGAACTCTGCTATTAGTCTATCACCAAGCTCCCGTCCCCCACCTGCATCCTTTCCAAACCCTGGTTAATTATAGACGGACTGAAAGTGCACTTCTTCCTGAGACTTCCAGAAAAAAGCAGGGCTTGATGATGAAGCCAAGTGGGGACCTGAGCAGTCTTTTTATGCTTTCTCTGGCATTGTATCAAAGGCCACCTCCAGGGCAATCTGATTATTTCTTTGCCTTTGACTCTTTGGGGTTGACATTAAATGGGTGCCTACCAATACGAGGAACCAGGGGTCTGAGTGCACTCACTCATCACGGTGACTTCCATCTCCCAAGGTAGCAGGGCTTAAAGAGGACCTATCTCAGAGTGTCATGAGTGGTACCCCCTCGGGTGCTGCATCATTGGGTCTCTAATACCCAAATGTTCTGGCCTCATCACTTTGACTTTTACAAGCGAAGACCACTTTGCTGCCGGAGTTGCTTCTGGGGAACTCTCTTTCCATTGTCATTGTTATCCTCCTCCTTTGGCTTTGAAAAACAAGTGGCCCAGAGCTGCTTTGATCATAGGCCTGGAAAGAACATAGGAGAGGGGGAGAATGGCCAGTCCATGAGCTGTAGAGGCACTGAGCATTTTGAGGTCATGATTAGGATTGCCAATTTGGCCTGTTCACCCTGAGCCCTTATGCAAAGTGAGACAGGTCCATTGACTGACTCATTACAAAAAGATCTTGTGTATTTGGCTGGTTCAGCCATTCGTTTACTTAGGAATGACATTTAAGAGAGAAATTAGGCCTGAAAGCTGAGGTGCTGAGTCCGTAGCTGCCCTTCATGCTCATCGTGGCTACCTGGGATGTAGAAACAGTGAGCACATGAGGAGAGCCTGACTGGTCACGCTGGGTGTTCTCTGGTCTTTGGGGAGAGGAGTGTGTCAAGTTGGCTGCCTGGGGTTTTGCTTCTGTGTAAATTCGAAGAACAAACTGGAGGAAAGTCAGTATTTCAGCGGAAAAAAATCACACACAAGACCTGATGACTCCTGATTAAACGTGCAAAAAGGTGGCATTAGCAGCCAGCATTTCTCCCCTTGTTTTGGAATTTGCCGGTGTTGTTTTGTGTGCACCCGTTGGCCTTACAGGTGACTCAGACCATCACTATAAAATATATGCCAGGATTTGTAGTCGGCAACTCGAGTTGCATTTCTCTTCTATTAAAAGCCTTATTTCAGAGACTTCCCCAGCAATCCAGTGGTCAAGACTCTGTGCTTTCACTGCAGAGGGCATGGGTTCGACCCTTGATTTGGGAACTAAGATCCCACATGCCACACGGAGCAGCCAATAAATAAATAAATAAAATGTAATAAAAAATATCTTAAAAAAAAGGAGCTTTAGTTCATTCATATGCTTCTGCTTTATGGGTACCCACTTATGTTATAGTCCATTGCTGCTGAAATATATGCCTGCCAAAAGAAGTTTTAGCTATTTCCTCTAATCAAAGGATCATGTAATGTTATATAACCAATTCTTGTTATTCTGTCTTGTAGTAAGAGTTTTAAAAAACCTCTTGGCCATAAGAGGTTTGGCCATACCAAATTTGCTTGTTAATTTAGTACTTTGAAACAGATAAAAATTGCATGTTTCTAGATATCTCACTTTCTTTGGAGCAAAAACTTTTTCCTAATTACATACTTTACACCAACAGTGCACCATCAGTTGCGAGCCAGTATGTAAAATTTCTCACGTTCACGTGTTCAGGTTTTGACTACCCTGATGTGATTTTAGTCATATCTTTTTAAAATTGAATTATACTTGCTGTGCAGTGGTGTATTAGTGGCCGCTGTACAATGAAGTGAATCCGCTATATACATGCACATATCTCCTTTTGGACCTCCTTCCCATCCATCTCTCATCCCACCCATCTAGGTCATTACAGAACACCGAACTGCGTTCCCTGCCCTGTACACCAGCTTCCCACTAGCTGTTTATTCTCACACATGGCACTATATATATGTCAAACCTAATCTTCCAATTCACAGTCATATCTTTAAGTTTATAGGATTCATTAAATTTCCAAGGGTAGACAGGTTTCTATTTTTTAAATGAGAAACTTATCCACGGTGTTGCGGTAATATAATTCTAAATGTATGTTCTCAGGTTTTGAGGATTTTTAAATGTTTTATTTATGCATTTGTTTATTTTTAAATTCTTTGGCCACACCTCGTGGCATTTGGGACTTCAGTTCCCAAACCGAGGATAGAACCCATGCCCTCTGCGTTGGAAATGTGGAGGCTTAACCACTGGATCGTCAGGGAAGTCCCTGTAGTTCTGAGGATTAAAATGTAAACTAATTATTCTTGGTAAATACTTGATTAGGTGTGTGGCACTGTAGCTGAAACTCTTCATTGTGAAAGAATCCAGTCCATTCTATTTGTAAGCTAATTCATCTAAATTTAAAGAAAAATCTAGCTCTAATAAGCCAATTTTAAAAAATTGTCCAGGATTTGGGGAGTGATCCTGACAAAGGAATGGTTTTCATGGTCTGCTAGCTTGTAAATTACTTTACCTACTTGAGGGTTTGATGTAAGAGTATGTGAAACTTTTGTAATGTTTTCTAATAGCCATGCCCATTTCCAACTTCTTCTCATGCTTCATCTGCCCTTTTGCCCAAATTCCTTTTTAAGATGATACTTTTGTATATGCAGGTGTTCGGTGAGGGAACTGAGGCTGTAAAGAAATCTTTAGAGGGAATATTTGATGACACTGTTCCAGATGGCAAGGTAAAAATAAACACATGTTCCTTTTCTAAAAGTACCACAAATATATCAACATTACACAGTGCAGTGGTTTCTTGGGATCCTAAAATTAAGTAGACTCAGTATTAGACACTGAAATAATCAGTCCTTTAAAATTATATAACTGGATGAGAAAAGATGGAAAACTTGATTACAGTAAGACATTCACCTGCTGACATAACATTTTCAGCAATTATCATTTGAATGTTTGTTTCCATCTAGAATATGGGAGGTAACTGGGGTTCTGGGTAGCAGAATATTTTATGCCATTGTCAATTCCTCTCGTAAACAACTTCCTTCTCAAGAGGTGAGTTGGTACTGGTCTCCCTCTCTACCCACACATGCTATTTTGCTTCGATTAATTTCAAAGAACTGTTCTAATGGTTTTAAAAATAAAACATGCATTTGCCTCCCAAGACAAGCATCCAGTTATAAATCTCCAGACTTGGTTTAACCTTGTGCTCAGATTTAAAAGGGTCTTTCAAACTGCTCTGATTGAAAGCCCATAAAGAATATTGATTTTTTTTTTCTAGGCTGCTATTTTCAGCCTCTAAATGAATGGACATCCCTCATTTGAAAGACCCTAATGGTGATACCAACAGGCTCTTTCTTGGGGGGAAGGGGTGGCGGTATGATCCTTCTATTCGTTGACTCAGAATCAATATGACAGAGTTCAGCTTTTAGTTGCCATGCAACCAAGCAGTGGGTTGTCCCATGTTCTAGATAGAAGTGAGCCTCTGAAATCAGGGTTCTGGCTACTGGGGGGGAGTGGGGGGAAGTGTGGTCATGGAGGGATCTTTTTCTCCCTTTGATACCTAACTCCTCCTGGATTATGTCATTGTGGATATCAAGATGACTGTCCGTGGAAATACTCATCAATAACCACTGTCTCTTTCTGACGAAATCTCTTGAAGTTAAATCATTGTCCTTATGTGCAATCCAAGCAGTTTCTGTGTTCATGTCTGAAGTTAGATAATTCATCCTGAATACCATAATTAGTGCACTTTTAATGTAGGGATGTTTTCCCTACGCATACAGATCCTGGAAAGTGCAAAAATTGTTCCATTGGATTTCTGTCACTCTTCATTTTTCCAAGATACCCCTTTAGTTTTACTCCTTGGCTGGAATGCCTTGTGCTCAAAGAACAGTTTAGATGCAAAATTTGGGCTGGTCTAGTGCTAAGAGCACTTTGAGGTAGCACGTGGGGACAGAGTGGGACGTTTCCAATTATAGTTAATGGGGTTTGGGCAAGTTGATTGTGTTCTGACAGTACCTTCCCTGGGGTTGAATTTATCTGTGAAAGCCAAGCCATTCAAAGGCAGAGCTGAAATTGTCTTCCCCATTGAAGAATTTAGTTTAGTAGCCTTTACAGAAACATGTCCCCCATTCTGGGATCTGATCTTTTTACACACGGAAGGTGTTACAGTACCACCTCTCAGGCTGCCGTTGGGAGCCTTGTTTCTTCTTATAATCTGCTGATGGCAGCACATTTTCAGTAATCTATGGGTACGTATTTACCAATCCCTGGATATAAACCAATAATCAAGGCTTATTTCTTACCACCTGTTGAGCATCAGCATTACTGTTACCTTGCTAAAATCTAAAGAAATTATTTCTTTGCTTACTCCAGAGAGACTAGGTTCCTAATATTTCATCAACCCATGGAGTTGTTTTATGCTTTAGATGTTTAGCTGGCTTAGAGATAACCCAGTTGCTGACTACGTAGGTAGGACATGGCTCCTCCCACTCTTAGAAACTTGGTACTATTCCCCGATTCAGAGGATGGACTGATGGCAACAGCCTGAGAAAAGGCAGAAAGCTCATCTGTGGAGTTCTCTGCACCTCATAAAGTAAATGTAGCTCTCTGTCTCTCGTAGAGCTGTGTCAGAGGTTAAATGTGAGCCCAGAAATGATGCTGGTTGTCAGTAGCTTGTGTTGGAACACCATCTTTAAGAATTTCCTTGGAGCCTCCTCATCATCTTTGAAACTTACAGCTCATCAGGGTGTATCGTCTTGCCAGAGGACTCTCAGCTCTAAATTTGAAATGGGTTTGTGGAAGAAATCATAGCAAGAAAGCTGAACTGAATGGATGGCCTGTTTCTTTCTTTCTGCCAAAGTTTGATACCCACTCAGTCATGCAGTGCCCACCTGCGGATGCCATGGGTCAGGTGTGAGGTCTGCGTCTCACCTGAGACATCTCGTGCACCCCCAGAAAGCTCCTTTCTCTATAATTTCTTGCTCTCTCTGAGAGTCCCCTCCGTCCTTCACCACTGCCACCACACTTTTGCCCCCGGGCCCTTTTCTTGGATAATCCCCATGTGCTACCAGGGGATCTGAGACCCTCAGAGACTGACTTGCTGCTCTGCTAACTTTATTTCTTATCCTAGAGGGAGAAAGAAATGGTCTTACCTGCCGTCCACCAGCACAATCCCGACTGTGACATCTGGGTCCACGAGTATTTCACCCCGTCCTGGTTCTGTCTACCGAACAATCAGCCAGCCCTGACGGTCGTCCGGAGGATGGCCTGTTTCTTTCTTTCTGCCAAAGTTTGATACCCACTCAGTCATGCAGTGCCCACCTGCGGATGCCATGGGTCAGGTGTGAGGTCTGCGTCTCACCTGAGACATCTCGTGCACCCCCAGAAAGCTCCTTTCTCTATAATTTCTTGCTCTCTCTGAGAGTCCCCTCCGTCCTTCACCACTGCCACCACACTTTTGCCCCCGGGCCCTTTTCTTGGATAATCCCCATGTGCTACCAGGGGATCTGAGACCCTCAGAGACTGACTTGCTGCTCTGCTAACTTTATTTCTTATCCTAGAGGGAGAAAGAAATGGTCTTACCTGCCGTCCACCAGCACAATCCCGACTGTGACATCTGGGTCCACGAGTATTTCACCCCATCCTGGTTCTGTCTACCGAACAATCAGCCAGCCCTGACGGTCGTCCGGCCTGGGGACACGGCCCGGGACACCCTGGAGCTGATCTGCAAGGTATGAAGCCACTTGGGCTGTTTGTGTTGGAGGACTCCACGGACACTCAGAAGCAGGTGGCAGAGGAGGGTTCTTGAAAGAACACCTTCATTTCATTCCAGAGCAGTATTGGATCCCCTTGTGATAATACGCATAATGGATGGACATGAATTCTTCTGCACTAGGAGGAGAGGGATTTTCTTAGTAGCTTCTTGCACCATGTGTTCTTGATAGACTTTGAAAAGCCTATTACATGCTCATTGCACAAGTTTTAGAGAATTTAGGTAAAAAACAAAGCCAAAAATTAAGGCACTCTTGCTTACAAAATTCAGAAATCACCTTAGTCAACATTTTGGTGTTTGTCCCTGCTTTCTGTTTGCTACATGCACACATACATGTATTTAGTGGCATCATATTATGTGCACAGAGCTTCCCAGGTGTCTCAGATGATAAAAAATCTGCCTGCGGTGCGGGAGACGCAGGTCCAATCCCTGGGTCAGGAAGATCCCTTGGAGGAGGGAATGGCTACCCTCTCCATTATTCTTGCCTGGAGAATCCCATGGACAGAGGACCCTGGTGCGCTGTAGTCCATGAGGTTGCACAGAGTTGGACACGACTGAGCAATGAACACAACACTTTATTGTGTGCACTGTTTGTAATCTGCTCTTTGGCAGTTTCTAATACACCATGGGCATCGTTAGGGTAGGGAAACATTGAAATAAATGTCAAATTTGCAGTCCATGATGAGAAATTCTCCTTCCTGTGAACACACAGTTAACCTCTTCCATTGAAGTGGCAAGTGATTGAACTCCCTTCCCCTACTTACACCTTAAGTTATAGAAACTTCGTGATTGTTTTCACAGTAAGCCCAGTTTCATTTTTTGATCCTCCTTGAGTGACAGCTAGATGAACTGGATTGCCTTGAGTGAGAGAAGGGAAAGAGGAAATAATGGGAATTTTCTTACATGTCGGGGTTGTCTTTTACCTAATTAGTAGCATTAATAGTCTTATTTGGTAGTCGTATGGAGTCTGAGAAGAAATGGTACGTCCCCATTGTACAGATGAGAAGGTGAGGCTCAGAAAGCCCTGGTTCCTTGCCTGAGCTCACATCACGGTCAGTCACTTGCAACGGAGGTTTTTTGTTTTTTTCCCCTTTCAATACTTTTATGTATTTCTTTAGTTTATGGCTGGGCTGGGTCGTCGTTTCTCGTTGGGCTTTTCTCTAGTTGCGACAAGGGGAGGCTTCTCCTGGTTGCAGCGTGCAGGCTTCTCATTGCACTGGCTTCTCCTTGCGGAGCTCGGGCTCCAGGGTGCTCGGGTCAGCAGTTGTGCCCCAGGCTCCATAGCACAGGCCCAGTAGTTGGGCGCCTCGGCTTTGTTGCTCCGTAGCATATGCTCTCGTCCGAGATCAGGGATCGAGCCTCTGTCTCCTGCTTTGGCAGGTGGGCTCTTTACCACTTCCTGAGTCACCAGGAAGGCCTGCAAAGGAGGTTTTGAATCTCTTATCTGGCTGCTCCAAACTTGGATGGCTTCCTTTGTTCCAAGTAAATGGTTGCAAGAGCTGTCAGTCATCTGGAAGGATGGTCCATGAAGGGTGGAAGAGCCTAGAATATCTTCTTAGGGCAGTGAAATGGTCTTCTCTGAGATCACTAGAGGGAAAGTGGAAACCTTGTCATAATTTCATCCTAGAAGAAGCCGGATGAATCCAATGATATATTTGAACCTTCTCATTCAACATGTGCATGCTAAGTTGCTTCAGTCATGTCCAACTCTGTGGACTGTAGAGACCTTCGGGCTGTGGCCCGCCAGGCTCCCTGTCCATGGGATTCTGCAGGCAAGAACACTGGAGTGGGTTGCGATGCCCTCCTCCAGGGGATCTTCCCGATCCAGGGATTAAACCCAACTGTCTTATGTCTCCTGCATTTGCAGGCAAATTCTTTACCACTAGCACCACCTGGGAAGCCCTTGTTCAATACAAGTGGTTTATAAATATGGAATAACTTTCACTATCTCAACTAGTAACTCAGTTATTCTGCCATCAGCAATTTTTGTACTTAACAAAAAGTACAAATCACTAGGACTTGGTAAGGGAAAAATCTGGCTTCACGTGAAGAACTAGAACACTCTGGCTCAAATAAGCCTATCAATCAGATCATCTCTCTGGAGGAAAAGTAGAAGGACCGTTTGTTTCAGGGCAAAGCTGAAAATCAGCCCCCACATGGGTGTTAAAAATAAATGATACACCATTGCACGCTTTGACTCCTTCATGTACACGAATTCTAGCTTTTTAAAGATAATGGTATTTCTGTTCACATTTTTTATTTTAATTACTTAACGAAATTAGTCTATTGAGGATTTCTGCATCCTTTTATTTATAGATTAGCACGATTCTTTAGAGACCCATTAATATTCTGCCGAGCTGTGGGAGTTATTCTCAGAACTGCAGCTGAAGGTGTCAGAAGTAGGGCTCCGGGTTTTTCACATAAGCTGAACTCTGGAGGGGCCTTCCAAAGAGTAGCATTGCTCTGGCGCCTCCTGTATACACTGGCATTAGACTCTATCAGGAATTGGAGGGTGCATCAGAGTTTAGCAATAAGCATTGGTGGAAGGTTAAACAGTGAGCAGGGGAAATAGTGATTTTAGGTCCTTTCCAAGCTTTTGCTTTGATAGAAACTAAGGGAATGAAGGAGGCACAATATTGTCAGGGCAACTTAGAGACCATCTTTAAATAATGAGTTGGACCAGCTGCCCCTATAAAGGGTTTTATCACTTGATGGAATTTTAATGGTGTCATTGTGACATACATCCCTTTCTCTAACAATAAAAGGTTTTTATTGTTTTTCTTGAATCCTCAGATTTCCCCCCTCTCCTCCCCAAAACATAGAACTAGAGAGGAAAGCAATATGGTGTGGAACACGCTTACATCTCTTGAGTTTAAAAACAGAAAACTTTGGTGTGTACTGTAAGAAATTGATGGTCCCCAGAAAAGCATTTGTGTAGGGTAAATTATAGTGTGCCCAGGGCCAGGTGCCTTCTGAAGCTGACTGCTTCTTTAGGAAACACTTTATTGTAATTAGTGGAGCCGATTTTATTCTTCAGAGGGAAAGAGATAATAGGGAAAACAGTGCCACATGTTATTAATGATCTAATTAACATTGAGTGATTCCCCCCNGGTGATTGTCAGGATTGTCTGTCTTTTATTTCTTTATTGCTGTTCTCAATATTGGTGATGGTTGCTCTCACTAATATTTAATAATCAATCTTTTTCTTCTGTCTCTTGCATTCAGCTCATTCTCTTTCCTATTCTGTCTGATCCACATCATTTCACATCAGTCTGTCATCTGCCATCCGAGCACCAGTCCAGTTCTGGTATAGTAACTGTTTCAAGATCTACATTTCATGTGCAATTCATGCTTTGAATGTTATGAAAGTGATTGTTACTAAGTATAGCAGGAAGCATGTTGGCCTGTGGGTTGTGAATATATTCTGATCATTGCAATCACTAAAATAATTACAAAGAAATTCATTCATTCATACTAAACTGTTATTATTCACGTGTGACCGTGGGCATCTTTTTCATGCCTTTACCATGTAGACCTGTGACTTTTTCCTAATGAACCTGGGCATTAAAAAAAATAAAAAGATCATCTTGAAGGGCAGAATAAATACCTTTGGAAATTCTGCAGTAGCACTGTGTGTGTGTGTGTGTGTGCACGCACATGCATGGATCTCTGTATGTCCTAAGTGCATGCATTTATGTTTTCTGAAGAAGTTTGACTGAAGTGAAAGAATATGAGCAGAAAAGAGCAAAATGTTGATGGATTTGAAGAGTATGGTATCTGTTTTAATGGGCTCAGATTACTTATTGAAAATACCTACCTTATGTTTTATATTTCATCCTTTGGAGGAGTCATAGAAACATGTAAATTTTTAAGAAGTATGCCAACTAAACTAAATAACATTTATTTTATGGTATAATTTGTGGCTTCATTGTCTCAAAATGAATCAAATGCTAAGTAACTTAAGTAAGTAAATGTTGGAAAACAAATTTGGACTGTTTAAGTTTTTTCCTGTCTGAATTTCTCTTGAGTTAGGAGATTTTCTCTTGAAAATTTTACAAGTATAATACAGGGCACAGCTTAGTGACTGAACAACAACAACAAAAAATAGTGCAGGCCACATCTTAGAATTACTGTCTTAAAATATTCATTAATATTTGGAATTCTTGCACATAGATGTGTTACAAACAGGGTAAGTTTTTTTTTTTTTTTTTTTTTTTTAAAAAACACCTTGATATTGACTTGCAAATAGTGGAGAATCTTGAAATTCTTGAGAGTTCTGATAATCTTAGTTCGTTAGGATTTTCTCTTTATGTTAGACCAGCCATGACTCACTAGGGCTCGTAATTGAGAAACATTTCCCAAAATGAGAAGACTCACTGGTAATGGGACTCAAAGTCCCAGTTTTAGGGTAACTATTTACTGATCAAACCACAGATTCCTGGGTTACAAGTAAGACCCTTACCATTTTTGTGTTTGTTGTGTTTGCTCACTTTTATCTTTTTATCTTTCTTAAGTTATCAAGATGTTATTGTAACTTAAAGAAGATAAGGTGGAGGGAAGGTGGTAAGAACCTCTCTTTAACCATCTTTCTGTTCTCTTTCTTTGTTAAACACTTCAAAGTGTAGGCTCTTGTTCACTGTTCTCTGTGCATCTGTATCAATGTTTTCAGCATGGTGGCATTGAAGGGATGGTGTCTCCATCAAAACCACCTTAAGACCTTTGGTGTCTGCCAATGAACTGTCTCTCACGCTGAGGTTTCAGGAGTCTTGGATGAGGTTGCTGTTCGGGTCTGGTTTCCAGAAGACTCTCTAAGTGGCAGCTCTGTTGGGAATGTCCACAAAATATTTATTGATGATGACGATAAGATTTCCCAGTGGATTTGTTCCTGTTGACCAAGACCCCATGAAGTTTCATTTCCCTTTCCCTCCCACCTCAGTTGGAAACAGATGGCGAAGCAAAATATCTTGCTTCTATTAATAATTAAAAATTTCCATGAGTGTCTTGGTCCATGGGAAACATTGGCAGCTTCTGTCTCTGTGAGGTGAACTTTTCTTGCATATCACAGCACTCTTGAGTATTATTACTTTGTTGTTTGTCTCTGTGGCTCTCTGAGAAGTAGTAGCTAACACACTTTGAAGCTCCCCTGCCTCTGTTTCCCAGGTTTACCCATCCACCCTAGTTGTTTTGCAAGAACAGTTTGGGTCTGGGAGTCGCTGAGCATCTGGTTTTCAGCACCCCCAGCAATGGAAAAGGAAGTGGCATAACCCGCTCCAGTATTCTTGCCTGGGAAATCCCATGGACAGAGGAGCCGGGTGGGCGGCAGTCCAGGGGGCTGCAGAAGAGTCGGGCACAACTGAGCGACTAAACAACAAAAGCCCGAAGCCTGTGCGTGGAAGATGCTGGCTCCGTGGTGCTGGTCCAGGCTGTGGCTTCAAACCTTCACATGACTAGGAAGAGGATGCATGTTGGAGGTTCCCAAGAATCACTGTAGAAAACATCTTTATCGTTTGGCTAGGTGTTTAGAACAAAGTCCCTTCTACTGTCTGTAACTGTACTTTCTTGACAATTCAGGATCGCTGTCTTGCATGTATACTCATTTACGAAGCAAAGTTACCAGTGTCCCCACCTCCTATGTTCTGCACGCCCCTTCCCACACTCCTGATGACTGCATTTATGTTTTATTAATTTCCCTATTGGCATTGCTTCTCACAGTGTCTGGCACAATTCAACAGGGTTTGTTGGGTGTAACTGAATATTTATTGGAATAAATATCAGAAATGTTCTTACTTTAGCCTTAAAATTTTGATTGAGTTCCGTTCAGTCTCTCAGTTGTGTCTGACTCTTTGCAACCCCATGGACTGCTGCAGGCCAAGCCTCCCTGTCCATCACCAACTCCTGGAGCTTACTCAGACTCAGGTCCTTCAAGTCGGTGAGGCCATCCAACCATCTCATCCTCTCTCCTCCCCTTCTCCTGTCCTCAATCTTTTCCAGCAAATTTTGTTTGAGGGAGAAGGTAAATAGAGTATTAAGCCAGTGAAAAATTAATTTCACTTACTTTGAAAGAATTCTCCTCAGTTGAGTTTCTGTTGTGAAGTGATGATGTTGTGTTTATGAAAAATTTCAGACTTACAAAAGAGTAGCCAGTCATGTAATTAACACCTGGGTTCTAGAATGTCAAATTATGTTTCATCCATTTACTCACTGACTCGCATCCTGGATGGTGGGAAGCAAATTCTAGAATTCATATCTTTATCTACTAGTAGTACTTTCAGATAAATCTCTAAAAGATAAGGATGCTTTAAAAAAGAAAGACTTGAGGGAAGCCTTTTCTCTCTAGCAATACATTTTCATGTTGCCTTGTAACTTTTGAAGAACGTTTTTTTTTTTTTCCTCCTAATTTCCATGAGTGTCTTGGTCCATGGGAAACATTGGCAGCTTCTGTCTCTGTGAGGTGAACTTTTCTTGCATATCACAGCACTCTTGAGTATTATTACTTTGTTGTTTGTCTCTGTGGCTCTCTGAGAAGTAGTAGCTAACACACTTTGAAGCTCCCCTGCCTCTGTTCCCCAGGTTTACCCATCCACCCTAGTTGTTTTGCAAGAACAGTTTGGGTCTGGGAGTCGCTGAGCATCTGGTTTTCAGCATCCCAGCAATGGAAAAGGAAGTGGCATAACCCGCTCCAGTATTCTTGCCTGGGAAATCCCATGACAGAGGAGCCGGGTGGGCGGCAGTCCAGGGGGCTGCAGAAGAGTCGGGCACAACTGAGCGACTCAGCAACAAAAGCCCGAAGCCTGTGCGTGGAAGATGCTGGCTCCGTGGTGCTGGTCCAGGCTGTGGCTTCAAACCTTCACATGACTAGGAAGAGGATGCATGTTGGAGGTTCCCAAGAATCACTGTAGAAAACATCTTTATCGTTTGGCTAGGTGTTTAGAACAAAGTCCCTTCTACTGTCTGTAACTGTACTTTCTTGACAATTCAGGATCGCTGTCTTGCATGTATACTCATTTACGAAGCAAAGTTACCAGTGTCCCCACCTCCTATGTTCTGCACGCCCCTTCCCACACTCCTGATGACTGCATTTATGTTTTATTAATTTCCCTATTGGCATTGCTTCTCACAGTGTCTGGCACAATTCAACAGGGTTTGTTGGGTGTAACTGAATATTTATTGGAATAAATATCAGAAATGTTCTTACTTTAGCCTTAAAATTTTGATTGAGTTCCGTTCAGTCTCTCAGTTGTGTCTGACTCTTTGCAACCCCATGGACTGCTGCAGGCCAAGCCTCCCTGTCCATCACCAACTCCTGGAGCTTACTCAGACTCAGGTCCTTCAAGTCGGTGAGGCCATCCAACCATCTCATCCTCTCTCCTCCCCTTCTCCTGTCCTCAATCTTTTCCAGCAAATTTTGTTTGAGGGAGAAGGTAAATAGAGTATTAAGCCAGTGAAAAATTAATTTCACTTACTTTGAAAGAATTCTCCTCAGTTGAGTTTCTGTTGTGAAGTGATGATGTTGTGTTTATGAAAAATTTCAGACTTACAAAAGAGTAGCCAGTCATGTAATTAACACCTGGGTTCTAGAATGTCAAATTATGTTTCATCCATTTACTCACTGACTCGCATCCTGGATGGTGGGAAGCAAATTCTAGAATTCATATCTTTATCTACTAGTAGTACTTTCAGATAAATCTCTAAAAGATAAGGATGCTTTAAAAAAGAAAGACTTGAGGGAAGCCTTTTCTCTCTAGCAATACATTTTCATGTTGCCTTGTAACTTTTGAAGAACGTTTTTTTTTTTTTTCCTCCTTTTTCCTTCCCATCTTCTTGAATGTGAACTGAGGATGTTATTTATAAAACCAGGCGGCTACTATTGCCTTTTTCACAAAGTTCATTCACAAATGACTTTCTAGGTAGAAAAGAATTATTTGACCCATTCTGACTAGTGCAGGAGGCCTGGAAATTTCGATCCTGGAAAATTCGATCTGTTTTAGAATTGTTTTCTTTGGGCCAGTCGTTCAGGGTGTTTCCAGAGTTGGACACACGCCTGTCTGCAGTGCCTGGAGGGAGTCTCACTTGGGGTGTATATAAATAAGAGTGAATCCAAATGCCTTGTCTATGCACTGACTCGTTTGCAAATGAACTGTTAACAACTATCCCCAGGGTCCCCATGTGGCTAAGAAAACAACTTTGCCTGGGCACAGCTTTCTTCTGTCACTGTAAATCCTCTCTGGCCTTTCCTGTTCCTTTTCTTCTCTAATCACCTATGTGTGTTAGAAATTATGTTTAAAAGCATTTTGGATCTGATAAGTTTTCTTGCAAACCTGGTGTTGAAGAAGGGAATGAATCAGATAAGCAGAAGTGAATATGTGACTTATTTGTTTCCATTGAAAGTGAGATCATGAGATGTTTTTAATATGTTCTATGAATATAATTTGGGTTTGGGATATAAACATTTTAATAAATACAGAAATGTTACTTCCCCCTCCAGCAATCAATCCCTGTTATTCTCAGGGATACATGACAATATGTCAGTGGAGAACTAATTATATCTATTTACTATTGAACAGACATTTTCTTTTCTCTTCCTTTCTTTTTTTTTTTCCTGTCCTAGGCACATAAACTGGATCATTCTGCTCATTACCTGCGCCTGAAATTTCTAATAGAAAACAAAATGCAACACTACGTGCCAAAGCCTGAGGAGGACATTTATGAGCTGGTAATGTTTATGACTGTTGTCCATGTACATTGTGTAGGAGATTATTCTTAAATTATATGTATGCTCATGCTAATTGTGGTTGGTGGAGTGGAACAAATTCTAAAATAAATGAGCCTCATTCTGCGCTCCTTTATTTGTGGAGATGGCCTTACCTATCACAATATTTTTTTGCAGGATGGAAATGCCACCTTAGTTTATGCAGGGAAGAGTTCTGTGCTATCATGAAAAATTGAAATCCAGAACTGACTCTCAGATAGAATTTTAGTTATTCCTAGCTTTCCTTGCCGTGTTGACAGTCTTTTGTTTTAAATGGGTGACTCAAAGATAATTTGGCTGTTGTCAGAGAAAAAGTACTAGCTCCAACTTTGTATAACTTCCTCCTGCATGTTGAAATTGATGGGTAAAATCCTATTAGGTGAAAAAAGCTGCTAACTAATTATATGTCCTGGCCTTCTGGAATTGTAGATTCTTGGGCATAGTTATCTAGGTTTGAGTTTCATGATGGGATTTGGGTTCTGAGCTGGATCTGGCTCTGCTGCTTAGTAATTATGTGGTCTTTGCCAAACCCAACAACAACAACAAAATGTGGTGATTAATACTTTGTAGGATTTTGCAAAGATTAAAGATCGTGGTTCACATAGTAGATGCTCAATAAATGGTGGTCATGGTAATATGGTAGAATGATGACCAGTTCCTTTTTTGTTAGCCAAGGGGTGCTTTTTTCAGTTCCAGAAAAGAAACATTTTGGGAGCCAGGGCCCTTCTCTTGGAGTTTGTTCTTTCCTGTATTTAGTCATTTCTCTGGGGGTCACCGAACTGCTTGCCATGGATCTGTAAATGATAACAGTATGACTTCAGACAGCCTTTCACAGTGGAAAACAGAACTGAAGACTTAGACCTGAAAAGTCTCCTTTTGAAAAAGGGAGGCATGATTTAAAATGTAGTCCGTTTAGTAGGGAATTGTGTTTCTAATCAGCTTTTCTTGAGGTTTGCTTTCTCTACAATAAAACAGCATTTCTGAGCACATGGTTTGGTGAGTTTTGGCAAATGTATACAGACTGTGGTGTTTCCACCACTAGAGTCATAATTTACATTTCTGTCTTCTTAAAAAATTCCCTTGTGTCCCTTTAAGTGTTTTTAATGAAATATAAGCAAGGGTGTGCTTTTTATAGCATTCTTATCATGTCATGAAATAGAAGAACAAAATGACCATTTTTCAACCATCACTTAAATCATAAAGTTTAATGCAGAGAAAGGTACTTTTAACAGTGGCTGATTTATTTTTTTCTCTGACATGGGGAAAGCCCTGACTTTGTGCTCTGTGAGTAGAAGAAAGAAAACCCATTTTCTTACTTAAGAAAGGAAAGTGCTTTGCTGTTAACATAGTGAAATAGCTATTAGAGCATGTAGTTTGTGTCTCGGAGTTAGTGAATCTTTTATATCCTAAATGACAGGGATCTAGCCTAAGAAATTTCAGTGTTCTTCATATCTTATACACAGGAGAATGTTTAAGACATATCTTTTGAAATTATATGGATTTCTTTATTATTTTTAAGTCTTGGCCATTGTGTGGTCTCATCCAGTATAGGAGACTAACAAGCTTACTCTGTTTGTTATCTACAACTCCCATGTACATATTACAATTGGCATTTAAAAACAAAACCCTGAAATACAGGGAGACCATGGTATTCTTTCTTGCCAGTTGCAGAAGGTCTCCAGCTCTGAGATTCCTCGGGGAGGAAATGTCATACTCTTACTCACTCTGTTGTTCAGACTGTGAGTGAGTACTGCTAATGGGCACCTCTGTTTTTACCAAGATTTTAAACTTTTTGTTCTCAGGATATCTTTGGCAGCTTGGTACAGCCTGCAGATCCCATTTCAGAATAATGTTTTTAATTCCATGAAATAGAATACATAGGATTACCCATGGCCTAATGGTGTTGAATTAGTTATGAAAGATATTTAAAAAATTATAGATGATACACATGCTTACTTAACAGCTCATTAAATAATCAGACATTGGTTGGTCTGATACCTGCCATTGTTCTGAAGTAGTGATGAGCATAAATAATATTTTGAGATATTAGCAGCAACTAGAATGTGGTGTAAAAATCACTGTGATTTCTGGTTGTGACGAGGTCACAGACACACTGCTCACGTTGCCGTGTTTGTTGCTTCCATTCATTAGTAATTGAAGGAAATGCTACGTTTCAGTTACAGGTTAGTGAATATAAAAATTTCAGGCTTTTTCAGCATCCCAGTTCACAGACCCCTCGAATTATATCCATATATCCATGGTTTCCAATCTCTGCTTTTGGCCATTAAGTTGGGTGAGATGTCATTCTAGGGCAGAGGGTTTCTGAACACACGGTGTTCTGGGTGCTTTTTGAGATTTTACAGATATTTTATTTATTGACCCTTACTGAACAGGCATCAGACTACCCATGGCTAATTGGTTTCCGTAACCTGTCTCCATTGTATTTCCAATGGATGAGCGAAACTCACAGACGTTTAAAGTCCTGTCCTGAAAAGTGACTCATTCATAGATGACTGTCCCAAAACATCTTATTCTCTGCCATTGTTTTGTCAAAAATTCTTGAGTTAGAAGATCAATAGTTATTAGCAAAAGTGTGTACTGTATATTAAAAATCTTTTTTTTTGGCAGGGGTGGGGGCATCTAGTAGATTTATTTTGTGGGGATTCCTTTGTTTATGAAAAGCCATGAATAGTCAGTCTTCTACTTTTGTATTATACTTAACCTGCTTTGCTAATTATGGGATTCCCTGGCAGCTCAGCTGGTAAAGAATCCACCTGCAATGCAGGAGACCCCAGTTCAATTCCTGGGTCGGGAAGATGACCTGGAGAACTACCTACCCACTCCAGTATTCTGGCCTGGAGAATTCATGGGCTGTATAAAGTCGGACACGACGGAGCGACTTTTCACTTTCACTTGCTAATTATGCTTTAATATAAGCAATACCTGCTTGGCTACTTTTTCATAATTAGTTGGTTATTGGGTCCAGTCTGTAGACTGATAATGCTTTCAAAAAAGCACTGGCTTTTTTGAAAACCCATAATTAAATATGTTTTTCTTAAAAAGACAAATAGGAATAGAGTTTGCAACAACCCTGATCGAGCGATTGATCGATTCACTCAGCAAATATTTATTTAGCATTTGTTATGTGCCTGGCACCATGCTAGCTGTTCTAGGCACTGAGATGCACACAAAAATTTTTACTCTTTATGAAAAATACACCCAAGTTTGTGAAGACAGATATAAGAACATGTATCTTAACAAAAACAGGTAAATGGCTAGTATTTCCGGGGATGCTAAGTGCTGGGAAAGAAAAGGTTAGGATATAAATGGATAGAGAAAAATGGACATCTGAAAGTGATCATGCTGCTCCTTTTAGACGTGATGTTTGAGCAGGGTGGTGAGTGAGGTGAGAAAGTCACAGAGGTGTTTTGGAGGAATGTGTTCTAGGGTCAGGGAACAAAGCCGGGGAAGGCCTGGTGGGGGGAGGCGGGTGGTGGCCGTGGTGGTTCACGCGCATTTGAGGAGGATCAGCGGGGAGGCTGAGTGGGGGGGGTGGCGGGTGTTGAATTCAGGGGGTGAGGAGAAGGGGAGCAGGGGGCTTGTCAGGCCCAAGTGAGGGGTGCAACCCCCCGAGACGAGGGCTTTATTTGACTCCTGTCTTAATAGGCTCACTGTGGCTAACATGTGGCCCATGAGCCTTGGGGAAGGGGCTGGGAGAGCATGATTCACGCAGGTCCATGCACGGTAAACTGTGGAATTTCAAAATTTCTGGTGTCAGATATTCTGATTGCAAGCCATGAAAGAAAAAAAAAATGTATTTTAAAGTGCAGATCCTTCTTGAAATTTTACATACTTTAGAGATGTAAAAAACCCAGTTTTTGTTCACCTGGCCTAAGGACCACACAGTCAAGGGTCCAGTATTATACGAAGTTACTGTCTGAGACTGGTGAAAAAACACAAAGACTTTCACACCAATTACAAAGAAAAGTAGGAGGCAATATTGTGAAAGAATAGGAAAGCTTATTTACGAAGCTATATTCCCACTGGATCTGTAGAAAGCCATTTGGAACTTTCCGGAGATGACCAGAACAATGGTGATATACTGCCACCTAGGGGGGAGAGGTTGGCTTTCAAGGAAATTGAAAAAAATCAAACTAAGGTTCCAAAGAAGTTGAAGTAGTAAGTACATTTCATAACATTTTATTGAGCATTCCATGACATTCTAAAATATATCATAGCATTGATTATATTTGGTAATGTGTAATTTTGGTGACTGTATTTTCTGAACTAAAGATCAGTGTTAGAACTGATGTCTTCTAAATGTAGAGTGCATTGGTATGGAACTTTTTCCGAAGTATATAGACAGAAAATGATATTAAGTTATGCCCTTAGCACTTTGAATTTGGTAGAAGTTGCATTAAATTAGGGTGTTCTAGAGGCTCTGGGCTTGTAGGGTGAACATTTCCAGCCCCTCTCCCACCCCGGCCTCCTGGCTTAGCCTGTTTCTTGGCTCCTGATTCCTAAGTATTCAGCTCACCTCTCCTACCTGTCAACTGCCCTAAGGAAGTGAACAGAAAGAAACCTGTTTTTTTTTTTTTTTTTTCATACTTGGCATGAATGAAATTATTCCTAGACAAATGACTAAGATGGGAACTAGTTTAAATAGTCACTGAGACTTCTCTTCAGTGCTCAAGAAGAGCTTTCTGTTATTGACTTTGGCTCAAAAGAGATTTTCGTTTTGAAACTAAATGACAGTTTTAAAAATTCCACATGAGCCTCTGACACATTTATTTCTTTTGGAACTTCTATCATAAATTTTCGGAGATGGCCTTTGGCTTACTTACCTCGGAATTCCCTGGTGCCTCAGATGGTAAAGAATCTGCCTGCAGTGTGGGAGACCCAGGTTCGATCCCTGGGTCAGGAAAATATCCTGGGATAGGAAATGGGAACCCCCTCCAGTATCTTTGCCTGGAGAGTTATGTGAACAGAGGAGTCTGGTGGGCTACAGTCCATGGGGCCACAGAGAGTCGGACACGACTGAGCGACTAACACTGCTACTACTTGCTTACCTAAGAAATAAAATTTTTGAGGGGGGTGGGGGGGAATATAATTGGTTTACAATGTTATGTTGGTTTCTGCTCTACAACAAAGCAGATCAACCGTATGTATACATATATCTCCACCCCCCACCCCATCCCACCCCGCTGGTCATCACGGAGCACTGAGCTGAGTTCCTTCTGCTGTCAGCAGCTTCCCACCAGCTCTCGGTTTTACATGCAGTGGTGTGTACACCCCCAGTTCGTTCCATGGAAGTAAGGCTTGCACCCTTGACTGTGGTACCCCTGAGTTCCACCAGGAGGCAGTCTGGGAGGCATTATTGTGTAGTGGGGAGCAGTTCCGTGNTCCCACCCCGCTGGTCATCACGGAGCACTGAGCTGAGTTCCTTCTGCTGTCAGCAGCTTCCCACCAGCTCTCGGTTTTACATGCAGTGGTGTGTACACTCCCAGTTCGTTCCATGGAAGTAAGGCTTGCACCCTTGACTGTGGTACCCCTGAGTTCCACCAGGAGGCAGTCTGGGAGGCATTATTGTGTAGTGGGGAGCAGTTCCGTGCTGGAACCAGTGAAAACTGGATTCAAATCCCAGCTCTGCCCAGGCTGGCTTTCTGATCTTAGGAAAGTACTTTCTCTGCAGCCTTTTTCTCTTCCTTTGTAAAATAGGGATCACATTTGTCTCATAGAGAACATGTGAAGGGTGAGAACACATGGTAAATAACACCTTCATAAGTTATGGTCCATGGTGATGCTAAGTCCGGATGTCAAAACGTGAAAGTGAAAGTTACTCAGTCATGCGACTCTTTGCGACCCCATGGACTGTACAGTCCATAGAATTCTCCAGGCCAGAATACTGGATTGGGCCACTGTTCCCTTCTCCAGGGAGTCTTCCCAAGCCAGGGATCAAACCCAGGGCTTCCACCTTGCAAGTGGATTCTTTACCATCTGAGCCACAAGGAAAGCTATTTATGATTTTCAGTTCAGTTCAGTTCAGTTGCTCAGTCATGTCCAACTCTTTGCGACCCCATGAATCGCAGCACGCCAGGCCTCCCTGTCCATCACCAACTCCGGGGGTTTACTCAAACTCATGCCCATCGAGTCGTGATGCCATCCAGCCATCTCACCCTCTGACGTCCCCTTCTCCTCCTGCCCCCAATCCCTCCCAGCATCAGGGTCTTTTCCAGTGAGTCAACTCTTCACATGAGGTGGCCAAAGTATTGGAGTTTCAGCTTCAGCATCAGTCCTTCCAATGAACACCCAGGACAGATCTCCTTTAGGATGGACTGGTTGGATCTCCTTGCAGTCCAAGTGACTCTCAAGAGTCTTCTCCAACACCACAGCTCAAAAGCATCAGTTTTTCGGCGCTCAGCTTTCTTCACAGTTCAACATTCACATCCATACATTTATGATTTAGATTACCCTAAAGAAGGCAGAGAGTCAAAGAATTGATGCCTTCAAACTCTGGTGCCTGAGAGTCCCTTGGACAGCAAGGAGATCAAACCAGTCAATCTTAAAAGAAGTGAAAGTGCAAGTCGCTCAGTCGTACGACTCTTTGTGACCCCATGGACTATATAGTCCATGGAATTCTCTAGGCCAGAATACTGGAGTGGGCAGCCTTTCCCTTCTCCAGGGAATCTTCCCAACCCAGGAATTGAACCCAGGTCTCCCACATTACAGGTGGATTCTTTATCAGCTGAGCCACAAGGGAAGCCCATTGAAATGTGAAGTATCAATTAAATTAATTAAAATAAAATTTCTTAATAAACCACCAAGTTCTTTTATCTCTTTTCCCATTTTTTCTTGGATTTCTGAGAGATTTGATTGATTTATGTACTTAGTTTTCTCAGTAGTTTTGTATAATTCTGTGACTAGAAGAGAATATTGTCATTTATATGGTTTTTTTGTCTGTTTCAGTGCTGTAATTTTTCTCTGCATATTGTGGACTTTTTGAGCAAAAATGGCATATGAACAGAAGCACAGGGATTTCTCCTATTTCTGTGGACTCCATATCAAGATCTTTATAACCTCTTCTTGATGTTAATGTTTTTCTCTAGTACTGGAAATTTTTGATTACCTTAGCATTATTTTTCAGGTCTGTGATAGATATAGGGTGGGAAAAAATTGTATATACAAAGTATGCCAAGGAGTCATTTAGAAACTGGAACTCTAGCTAAATTTGGGAATATAAGTTTTTAAAAGTTTACCACGTTAAGTCTTAATGGGGTCAGTTCAAGAAAAATACTGGGATGTGACGAGAATTTGATGTCGTGTCAGTTGTGAAAAAACAGATTTACAAATTGATGACTGTTTCTAACAAGTTATTTATAATGTAGTCCTAATTAGGTTTCTCTTTGTCATTTTCAGCTGTACAAAGAAATTGAAATTTGTCCAAAAGTCACTCAGAACATCCAGATTGAGAAGTCAGATACAGCTGGTGATAATTATGGTATGTTTATTTTTCTTTGATCTTTGGTGTTCTTCACGTGAAAACAATTCCTGCATAAACATGCACTTATTTACAATTCGATAAAACCTTTGGGGACCATTTAAAACAGACAACCCATCTGGCTTCTGTGCTTTGCACCTCAGCCAAACTGAGGAGGGGGTGGAAAGATACTTACCCTCGGTATGATGAAGACTTTAGCTTTATGTTTTGTAACTTTAACCTTTTTGGTTTTCCTGTCATAAATGAGGAGTGGATTTATTGAAAATAGATTATTTTATATTATAGCATAGCCTAGTAATGAGGAAGGGCTTCCTAGGTGGTTCAGTGGTAAAAGAATCTGCCTGCCAGTACAGGAGACATGAATTTGATCCCTGGGTTAGGTAGACCCCTGGGGTTGGAAATGGCAACACACTCCAGCATTCTTGCCTGGAAAATCCCATGGACGGAGGAGCCTCGTGGGCAACAGTCCATGGGGTCGCAAAGAGTCAGACACACGGAGTAACTGGGCAACAGTAACACATAATAAAGAAATTATCCTTTTGCACCTGTGCCCCCCAATGTATGTATTATTCTCCATCCGTCACAGGTGATGTTAAAGGAACTCATTCTGATGTGAATTGGGGTACCCTAGACCACCCCAGGTTTGCTGATTCACTAAGAAGACTCACTGCGCTTATGGTCGTGTTCATGGCAGTGATTTATCACAGCAAAACTATACGAAATCAGTAAAAGGGAGAAGCATGCGGGCTGAGGTGCTTGGCCACCAGGTGCAGACTTCCCAAAGTCCAGCCCAGTCACACGGGAAGTCCACAGTTCCCTCAGCGCAACGCATGGGAACTACATTGTCTTGTAGGAGGTTTGTTAGGGATTCCGTGCCCAGGATTTTGACTAGGAGGCTGGTCACACAGGGGCCCTCTGCCTCACATGTACCAGGACTCCAGCCTTCTGGGAGGAAAGCAGGTGTTCGGCGTACCCCACGCTGTCTGTACAGACTTTTAGACACAATGAGCTCCACCAGGTTGTTGGGAACCCTCCCAAAATCCAAGTTCCCAGATGCCAGGCAGGAGCCAAACTTGTAAGCAGGTCTTTTTTCAAAGAGCAGCAGTCAGGCCCCATCCGCTAGGGCTTTCCTATGCAGTTGTCTGATTCTGGTGTCGTTAAAGGTGCAGTATTTTCCATGGATTCAACAGCGGTCTGCTTAGCGTTACCCTTGGTGACTTGGGCAGCAGAAGATTGCTGCTTGGGTACAACACGCAGGGAAACCCCCACTCTATCGGGGCAGATTAGTCAGGTGGGGCCAGGTCAGCTGAGGCGACGGCAGTCACCAAAGCGCCCTGGCTGCTAACAGTGGAATCCTTTCTCCTGTTCACCCTGCCTTCTCTGTGGGTTGGCCGCAACCCTTTCTTTCTATTGTCCTCACTCCAGGCCTAGGTCCTGGAGCAGCTGCCACCTGGGACAGTGTTTGTTTCTTGGCAGAAGGCAAAGGGGAGGCGGTGAACCAGTCACTGGCTCACTCCCAGTATACTCTTCAAAGCAAGTGACTGGAGTGGTGGGAGGGTGGGTGGGCAGAGAAGTGTAGGCCTACTGGGTGCTGGAAAGAAGGAGAGCTAGGGGCTGGTGGTCCAGCGGTTAGGNAGGGCCTGGCGTGCTGCCATCCATGGGGTCTCAAAGAGTCGGACACACTTAGCAACTGAAGAACAGCGGAATACCTGGTGAAAAGATACAAAGTTTATTGCATATGCTTGCTTACAACTTCTCTCTGAATTAACTTATTGGGCTTTTTAGCATTTGAAAATCTACAGATCCTTTACTAGGCAGCAGCACCTTCAATATTCCATCTATAGCCTCTCCCGCAGGCAGAGGCTTATTTGAACCTCTCAGACCGCTTTCACTGGAGTGCTTTGTCCTAATGAAGAAAACCTACCTTCTGACCCCTGGCCACTTGAGTTATACCTTCATGCCATTTTACTTCTTGACCTTAAAATGAAAGACATCATCAAGCGACCAGATGTTTTTGATGGCAAGGAATAAATGTGTCCGAAAGGCTTATTATTGTAGGAGAAGCATGACCTCAATAATAAAAGCAGTTATTGGTAGCAATGCGACAAATAAGTGTCTGGGTCCTCCGAACTGAAATGCACCATGTCAGTTACTCTTTTCTCTCTGGTTTCAAAGTTCTTGGACTCAAACTCCAAGATGGACTGGTTTCGGTTCCTCTGGAACAGACACAGAGCCTAAAACTGTTGTATTTTTGAGTTATTGTTCAGTTGCTAAGTCAGGTCTGACTCTTTGCTATCCCATGGACTATACAGCCCATGAGGCTCCTCTGTCTTTGTGATTTCCCAGGCAAGAATACTGGAGTGGGTTGCCATTTCCTTCTCCAGGGCATCTTCCCATAATAGGGATCAAACCCATGTCTCTTGCGCTGTCAGACAGATTCTTCACCAGTGAGCCACCAGGGAAGCCCATATTTTTATACTTTAAAAAATTTTAGTTCTGTACAGTTATTTCTTTTTTTTTTTGGCTGTGTCACACAGCATGTTGGATCTCAGTTCCCCGACCAGGGGTCGAACCCACGCCCCTTTGTTGCCAGAGTGCAGAGTCTTAACCACTGGATTGCCTGGGGAGTATCTATGCTGCTGCTGCTACTAAGTCGCTTCAGTTGTGTCTGACTCTGTGCGACCCATAGATGGCTCATAGGAGCCCACCAGGCTCCCCCGGCCCTGGGATTCTCCAGGGAAGAACACTGGAGTGGGTTGCCATTTCCTTCTCCTGTGCACGAAAGTGAAAAGGGAAAGTGAAGTCGCTCAGTCGTGTCCGACTCTTTGTGACCCCATGGACTGCAGGCCCCTCCGTCCACGGGATTCTCCAGGCGAGAGTACTGGAGTGGGGTGCCGTTGTCTTCTCCAGGGCAGTACCTATACTTTTTATCAAAGTGACTGAAGTAGTTACAGAACCTGTTTCCATTTCCACACTGAAGGGGTTACAGGGCGCCAGAAATCAGCTCAGGAGGTATTGTCAACTGTGCGTCTCAGAAGGCCTGACATGAAGAAGCAGGGTCCTGTCCTGGACCTCCCCTGCTTCTGTGAATGACAGAGTCCCATGCTTGGAGGGTGTGGCAGTATCAAACGATGAATTTCTTGATGCTTAGTCTGGCTTTCCATCCTTGTATTGCTGTCAGTTGCATCCTGTCTGTACTTGTTCCTGGACTTCACCTTGGACAGCTTTCAGTTCAGTTCAGTTCAGTCGCTCAGTTGTGTCCGACTCTTTGCGACCCCAGCCTCCCTGTCCATCACCAACTCCCAGAGCTTACTCAAACTCATGTCCATCGAGTCGGTGATGCCATCCAAGCATCTCATCCTCTGTTGTCCCCTTCTCCTCTCACTTTCAATCTTTCCCAGCATCATGATGCCATCCAAGCATCTCATCCTCTGTCATCCCCCTCTCCTCCCACCTTCAGTCTTTCCCAGCATCAGGGTCTTTTCAAATGAGTCAGTTCTTCAAATCAGGTGGCCAAAGGATTCGAGTTTCAGCTTCAGCATCAATCCTTCCAATGAATATTCAGGACCAATTTCCTTTAGGATGGACTGGATGGATCTCCTTGCAGTCCAAGGGACTCTCAGGATGCATAGCTAATAAGCTCAGCTAAGCCATTTATTCTCAGTATCCAGTTCATGTTGGCAGAGGTGTTTCCACAGACGTTAGAGTCCCCCAGTCCTAAGAGACCTGAGAGTCTCTGACTTCAAAGGTGCTAAGGAGCCTAAAGTCAGCCCATCTTTCTCTGACATTTGCATCTAAGAGCAGCTTCCTGCTATACATCAGTTTCAGTGTATGTCAGTTACTAGCACACATCAGCATACAAGCCAGATACTGCTTTCTATTGTAGAACACTTCAGGGAGGAAAATATGACTTAATAATCCCACTGACGAAACAAGTGGAAAGATTTAGCACTTGCCTGATTTCTCATCCTTCCCTCCGCCTCAGCCCTCAGGACTCTCTCAGACCTTGTTGTTGAAGTTAGTTCACAAAGTTTTGTAATAGACTAAGTGTGACCATCTAGGCAGCCTTGAAGTGGAAGAATGCATCATTTCAGCAACTGAGTATTTGTTTTTCTCTGGGGACTTCTTCGACCATTGGATTTTTGGTCTTGTGTCCCCTCTATGTCAGCAGGCATGCCTGCTTAGTTGCTAAGTCACGTCCAGCTCTTTGCGACCCCGTGGACTAGCACGCACCAGGCCCCTCTGTCCACGGGGTTTTCCAGTCGAGAATACTGGAGTGGGTTGCCATTTCCTCCTCCCGGAGATCTTCACAAGCAGAGGTCAGACCCACATCCCCTGCATTGTCTGGCAGATTCTTTTACCGCTGAGCCACCTAGAAAGCCCCCTTCTCTGTCAGTGGTGTCTATGTTTTTCTCACTTTCTCCATTTCACTGTGTCCTGGACTCTTGTTTTGAGTCCGTCTGTTTTGTTTACTGTGTTGTCATGATTTTTCTTTGGTCCTCAATTTCAGTATGAAGAAGCTTCTGGTTATTCAAGAAATGAGTCTGTCTTTTTGGTTTCTTCACTGAGTTTTAATCACTTCCTGCGTTTTCACAATCATACGTCACTCATGGTGCCTCCTGGTCTCTAAGCCTTTTGGTGGGGTGGGTGCTTTGGCTGTATATAGACTAACTCCTTCTATTTCCTGTGGCAGTCATTTTGGACTGTACTACATGACTTTTCTTGGAATTAGATTGTTGCTCCCCTTAAAAAACTAAAACCAGAACTACCTGGTGCTGGGCTCTGCTTGGTTGCTCAGTTGTGTTGGACTCTCTGTGACCTCATGGACTGCAGTCTGCCAGGCTCCTCTGTCCGTGGGAATTCTCCAGGCAGGAATACTGGAGTGGGTTGCCATGTCCTCCTCTGCGGGATCTTCCCAACCCAGGAATCAAACCTGCTCTCCCACATTGCAGGCAGATTCTTTACTGTTTGAACCATCAGGGCAGTCCAAGAATACTGGCGTAGGTAGCCTCTCCCTTCTCCAGGAGATCTTCCCAACCCAGGAATCAATCGAGGTTCTCCTGCATTGCATGTGGATTCTTTACCAACTGAACTACCAGGGATGCAGCAGTCTCACTCCTGGCTGTACATATCTGGAAAAAATGAAAACTGTAATTCAAAAAGATACATGCACTGCAGTGTTCATAGCAGCAGTATTTACAATAGTCAGGATATAGATACAATGAAATAATATTCAGCCCCGAAAAAGAACAAAATGTTGCCGTTTGTAGCAACATGGATGGGCCTAGAGAATATTATGCTTAGTGAAATGTCAGACAGAGAAAAACAAATATAATATGATATCACTTATATGTGGAATCTAAAAACTAATAATAAATGAATACATATTTGTTATTGTAAGAAATGGTTAAAATTCCCACCTACCCCCTAGTGTGGAGACTGTTGACATCTTGAAATAGAGGCAACCTTAGTGGTAAAGAAAGCAACAAATGAATACCTCAGCCATCTGCTGTGATTCTGGTTTAAGGTGACTTGCCCTAGGCTCGCAACACATTGCCTCTCCGGACAGTGTGTTCATTTTATATTTAATAGGAGAAAATTTGGATTAGAAGTATAATTAAAAAATTTGGTCTCAGCATTTTATAAAATGATAGCATTTTTGGAAAGGAAATGCCTGTATTTTAATGGATTCTATTCATCCTTTCCCTGATATAGTCCTTGATTCTGTATCTATTCTAACAGATAAAAGAAAAAGAAAACCTCTGTTGAAATGCAGAAAAATACCACTGTGTTAAGGCTAATGTCATTTAAATGGCTCATGTCTAAAATTATTTTTATTTGAGTGGAACTGAGTTTTTTAATATTCCTGTCTTTAATTTTGTCTGTGTTGGGTCAACAGCACACCTGATGTTCCAGGTGCTTTCTCTAGTTTTGGAGATCGGGGCTCCTTTCTAGCTGTGATACGCAGGCTTCTCCCTGGGCGACTTTTCTTGTTGTGGAGCACAGGCGCTACGCAAGCAGCTTTCCACACTTGTGGCTCCCAGGTTCAGTTCCTCGAGGCATGTGGGGTCTTCCCAGACATGAGACTGAACCTGTGTGCCCTGCATTGCACAGTGGATTCTTAACCACTGGACCACCGGGAAGCCCCAAGTGGGACTTCTTGAAGAGTCTTCTGAAAGTTAGAAGTTGCTGTAAGAATGGAATTTAAAATAAGAGAATAAAATAAAGACTCTGGAAAGTCCTCAGGGGTGAGCTTGTCTTGTTCTCTTTCTGAGGGAGTTATGGTCCCCTAGTGGGTGATGGCATTTGGCAGTTTTGCCTACCTGTGGGTATCTTATTTCCTGGTTCTGTGAATGGTGCAAAACAAAACATGTGTTCATTATGACACAGTCTGAGAAGTCTCAGTGAATCCCTGGGCCCCAGTCCATTAATTAATTATTCTATTTTGTTGTTTGCTTTTTTTTTTTAACCACTATATTTTTCTCCCAGAGCAGAAAACATGTCTGATATTTACAGTTGCATTAATTTCCATTGCCCTTTTAGGATTATCTGCCAAAGTATTTTATCCTGAGGGAAAATAGGTTTTGGTTGTGGACTTTCCATTGATTGATCAGAAAGAGTTTTATATGTGAAACAGAAGTGACCAAAGCTTGTGGACATGGGATTAGGAGCACTTAGAACCTCAGAGCCTTGTTCTGCCTTATTTTCTGAAGGATGTGGCAAAGCCCAAGGTTAGTTAACTAATGGAGCTCTGGAAGCCTCGATGAGTATAAGATAATCTTATGATCTGACACTAGGAGAATGTGCGATCCATCAGTTTCAATATGAAAAGGATTTGTAAAATGTGTTGTTACTTATCCCCGTTTGCAGAATTTTACTAAATTAAAGCAGTGTCCACACAGCACTATATAGGTGAACACACACTATACAGGTGTTATGTTCTGACATGTCCTAGGACATAGATTGACTAAAAAAAAAAGGTCAAAAGGACCCAAAAGAGATAAGCTGTTTCTCTTTTGTGTGACGGAGAGAACAGTGAAGAAAAGCAAAACTGTGGCGTTAACTATCAAGCAAGGTAATGAACAAGGTCATTTTTTTCCCACTTGAGTTGATAGTTGGTTATGTGGAGATAGATGTGCTCGGTGATATTAATTTTTATTGTGGCTTTATTTAGAGTTGTCTAAAAAGACGTTTTTCTGCTTTGTGACACAGCACAAATAGGGAAGGACCACAACCCAGACAGTGAGCGTGCCGAGTTCACCCGGACCCTTTCTGCTGTCTGCTCAGCACTCGGAGGGTATGGGCATCACCTGCTGTCTTAACCCTCTGTCTCTGCTTTCCAGGGTTTTCACTTTCTTCTGTGGAAGAAGATGGTGTTCGAAGGCTCTACGTGAATAGTGTAAAGGAAACTGGCTTAGCTTCCAAGAAAGGTAAGTTACTCACCGTCTTGTCTTGACTTGTCTGTCTTCAGTTCCCTTTTGGATTTCTCTACTTGGTGACTGAGAAAGATCAGCCCCAAATGTTCATCTTTGAAGAGTGTTTAAATGTTGTCTCAGGGCAAACGCTTCCAGGGAATATGAGTATTTTTTCCATCAGCTCAATTGTGCAAGGAATGTTACCTTCTTGGATTTTAAATCTAATTCTGAGCCCATTTCCATGGGGTTGGTGGGAAATTCCCTTTGAATCAGAAAGGGTTGTCTTTCCCTACCATCTGGGGTGGAATGAAGGTCCGGGGGTCTGGTTGGAGCTGCTAGGGAAGACCCCTTTGTGCTTTGGTGCACACTGCTCAAAGCTGACACTGACCTTCACCTGAGCTCGGGAAGCTCCTTCATGTTCTGTTGCCGCCATTCATGGAGGGATCTTTGTAGAAGTTGAGAACCTCGGGGTTCGGGATCCAGACTGCTTGCCCTCCGTAGAGAGCTCTTGTCTGCTACGCCTGCCTGCCCCTCTACAAGAGCTCCTAGCACTGTCTGTCTAGGCTACTTGTGGAACCCCAGCACTCCATCCTCTTTCTAATGGGAAAATCTTTTCATCCTAGATTTTCTTCTTTTTTTTTTTTTTGGCTTCCTGTGTTAGTTTCCTAGGGCTGCAGGAACAAATGACCACAAACTGGGTGATTCAAAACAACAGAAGTGTATTCTCAGACAGATCAAGAGGCTAGAAGTTTGAAATCAAGGTATTGGCAGGGTCATTTCCTTCTGAGCCCCTGCAGGAAGAATCTCTTCCATGGTTCTCTCTAGATCCTGCTGGCTGCTAATAGCCCAGGGCATCCTTGGCTTGTAGCTGCATCACTCTGATTTCCTCCTCTGTCCTTCCAGGAAAGCCTGTGTGTCTCCTTGTTTTCACATGACATTCACCAGTCATTGGGTTTAGGACGCACCCTACTCTAGTATGGGTTCATCCTGCAGATGAACCCATTACACCTGCAGAGACCCTATTTTCAAATAAGGTCACATTCTGAGTGGACATGACTTTTGGGAGGGACATTCTTGAGCTCCCCTGGTGGTTCAGATGGTAAAGAATCTGCCTGCAATGCAGGAGACCTGGGTTCAATCCCTGTATCAGGTAGATCCCCTGGAGAAGGAAATGGCAACCCACTCCAGGATTCTTGCCTGGAGGATTCCTTGGACAGAGGAACCTGGCGGGCTACAGTCCATGGTATTGCAAAGAGTCAGAAGCGACAGAGTGCCTAACTTTCTTCTCGCTTTTTCTTCAAGTCACTATACTCATTGTAAATGAATTGGGCAGGTAGGTAGGGCTCAACCTCCACCTTCATTTCATTCTTCTTGCTATGGAATTTTGGCTTCATTCAGGCAAATTCACACCCACTGAATGTACAAGTTCACTGTGACTCGGTCAGTTCTGCTTGGACATGATGCCTGTGTCTAGTTCTGCTCAAGGCTGGCTGAATGCAGCAGCTGGGAACGGATGGAAGGCAGACTGACCTATCTCCCTCCTTCCACGTGCTGGGGCAGCTTAGCTCTGGGTGTTCATCTGGCAGGGCCCCTCTGTTGCTGACCTAGCCCTGTGTTGTCAGCATCGGAGAAATGCTCCCTGCAGTTTGGTTCTGCACGGGGATGACAAAGGTGTGACCTATGGGAGATAAAGTCCAAGTGATGCATCTGCTGCTAACTGCCACGGGTGTGACTGTTCCTTCATTTTCCTTCTGTGTTTTTGAGACCAGAGGCAGTCAGAGTTTGGTGCCTTCACTGAGGGTGTCTCAGCTAAGAGCAGAGGTGGCGGGGTTTATTCCCCTTTGAGCCCCAAGCTGATTTTTATCTCTTGCAGCCCTGCAGTGACTGCTGGGTGCGGGGGTGGGGAAATACGCTGCCCTGCTTTTAGTCACATCCTGTGTTAGTCCTTTGAATCCAAGAACCCTGGTGTTAGATGAAAACAAACGGTTGAGTGCTGCAACCCCCTCGCCCCCTATGACGCTCTTCTCTACAGATGCAGGAGGGATGTCCGTTCGTCCACGTGGGTGGCAGACCATCCCAGTACCCGGCCTGCGGAGGGCTGTGTCGGGAGAGAGGTTTGGGGTTGTGTGGTGGTTCGTTCGCGAAGTCGTGTCCCACTCTTTGTGAGCCCAGGGACTGCAGCACGCCAGGCTCCTCTGTCCTTCACCGTCTCCTGGAGCTTGCTCAGATTCGTGTCCCATGAGTCCGTGATGCTAGTGCGGTACTCGGGGTATTTGATGTTAAACCGTAGCCTCTATGTGAAGGTGATGGAGAGCTAGCCAATGTTGGAGAGCTCCTGGTGGATCATACAGACTCTGACGATAAAAATCCTTCAGCTGCCCTTCTCCATTTAGCCTCCTTCTTTATGGCCAGCCAGAGCAGTTCACGATATTTGTTGTGTTACAGCTGCTGTGTCTTTCCTGCATTTGACCCTTGCAGACCCTTCAACAATTCGTTAGAAGTTAGGATGGACTCTGGTCATTGCCCGCTGGGCACCATCCAGATGCCAGTGTTCCTTAAAATGACCAGAATGTGGCGCACACCAGTGGGAATGTGGTGGCATGCAGCCTAATTAGAACCGGATATTCTGTCATTCACTGAGCCTACACTTTACTGTTGTTAGTCGCCATGGGCTTTTGGCCTGGAATGGGCTATTAGTTCCCGTATTCCTGCTCGCTCTCTGTCTCTCTCTCACCCTCTGTTCTATGTTGGATCTCACGCTGACTGTCCTTGTAGAACTGACTTTTGAACCCAGAGCGTGTTTCCACGTGTCTCTGTTCATCTTGGGCCTGTTGTTCCGCTCTTGCAATCCTCTGAGGTTGGGATCAGGCATCTTCTTTGCTGCCATCTAAGTGTCTTCCTGACAGCTCCGCAGGACAGAGCCTGGCTGAGATGGCCATGGGCTAGAACTCTCTAGACAGATGGGATATTTCACAGCTTTTACTGGGCAGGTGGGGAGTATTTTTGAGTAGGCTCAAAATGAAAAACAAAGTTTTCCTCTTTCTGCTCCCAAACATTAATAATGAGAGTTAGTGTCTGTTGAATATCTTCAACATGCCAAGTGCTACATGAGGCGTTCTACATGTGTTTGATCTCACTTAAACCATTACCAGTATTCTTGCCTGGAGAATCCCCATGGACAGAGAAGCCTGGCGGGCTACAGTCATGGGGTTGAAAAGAATCAGACACGGCTGAGCGACTAACACACCTTCTTCAAGAAACAGAGCTGTTTTCTGCCACAGTTCTGGAGGAGAGTCTGAAGCCAGGGTGTCTGCAGGGCTGGGGCCCCTGGGAGGCTTGGGGGTGGGGGTCGGTGGGTAGGGTTCTTTCTTGCCTTTCCCTTCATCTGGTGTTTGCTGGCCTGTGGCAGCGACCCTCAGCCTCACTCTCCGTCATGCCATTTCCTCTTCCAGGGGATCTGCCCGACCCAGGAATCGAACCTGAGTCTCTTACATCTCCTGCATTGGCAGGTGGATTCTTTACCACTAGCACCACCTGGGAAGCCCATATAAAAGGTGGTGGTGGTGGGGGGCGGGGTTGGACAGGGTGTGGGGAGCAAATATGATTGCATTTGGTTCTGTAAACTCTCATCCTTGGGTGTGTTTGCAATGAGGTGACCTTCAGTGATTGTAGCCGAGGAGACGCCTGCATTTTGTTTCCATAGCAACGATTTTTAGGCTTTAGCTGACTGTGCACACGTGTCCACGGTAGACAAGCATGTACATGACACACACATTGCTGAAATCAGGGGGCCCTCGAAATGGTGGGACCATAGCTAGGATAGAACACACGGGCTTCCCCGGGGGCTCAGATGGTAAAGAATCTGCCTGCCGTGCAGGAGACCCAGGTTCGATCTCTGGGTTGGGAAGATCCCCTGGAGAAGGGCATGGCAACCCACTCCAGTATTCTTACCCAGAGAATCCCACGGACGGAGGAGCCTGGCAGGCCACACCATGGGGTCACAAAGAGGGGTCACAGGACTGAGCGGCTAAGAGCAGAGCGCATAGATTCAAGGAGTGGTACGGTTGTTTGGTTGCTTGGTCGGTGTATCCAGGGCAGCTCAGGCCTGCTGTGACATCCCAGTGTAGAACCTTCCAGAACCCAAGCCCACGTGGTCACCTGAGGAGCCCCTTGGCGCACGCCTGGCTGTGTGCAGCCCTAACACACCTCTAACACCTCTAACAGGCGAGCTCGGCGTGCCCTTTAGAAGCAGCACTCTTCTGCTGTTGCCATCTGATTCGACGCTGCTGCTGCTTTTATGTGTGTGTGTGTGTGTGTCTGAGATTAAACATTTTTCCATCTCGCGTTGGCAGGCCTGAAGGCGGGAGATGAGATTCTCGAGATCAATAAGCGGGCTGCGGGCACCCTGAACTCCTCTGTGCTCAGAGATTTCCTCACACAGCCGTGCCTGGGCCTCCTGGTGAGGACCTGCCCCGAGCTGGAGGGAGGAGAAGAACTGCTGGAGAACCCGCCCCATCGGCTGGACGGCCCGGCCGACCTCGGCGAGAGCCCCCTCGCCTTTCTCAGCAGCGACACAGGTATGGCCGTGCCCTGGGTGCCCCCCGCGGCTTGCATCTTTCGGTGGGTTTCCTGCGCCTGGCAGGTCCTGGGAGATGCGAGAGGAAGATGAACAGGTTCCTGAGCTCCCACGTCCGGGTGTAAAGGGGCCTGGGACGTACGCGCCGGTGGAATTGCCGCTTGGCTGCAGTGGGAAGCTCTGTGGTGCTGCTGCTGTTTGTCCTTTGGGGAAGGATAAGTAGATCGAGGCCGCTGTCTCTTGACTGTGGGTGGAGATGTAAAGACGCCAGCAGTCACTGAAGATGCTGGGGCTTTGGTTGTGCCCCTGCTTTCATGGCTCCATCTCCTGTGTCACCCCCGTCCTGTGGTTCCTTGTGTGGAAGGGGGAGAGGATGTGGACTGAGAAGCCTGGGGTGGAAATATGCCCCGAGCTGGAGTTTGGTCTGCTTTTCCCTGGGCTCTTCTGACCTCCAGTCTAGAGATGAGCCCGTTGGCAGAAACCCCCTCCCGTGCGCCATCTGCTGTTTTTCCTGTTTATACCTTGCCTTCCACTCCCTCTGACAACCTTATTCTCACTCTAGAAGGAGCAGCTTGGGTGCTGCCTGCCCCAGAAAGGCTTCTGGGACCCCCCACCGAGCTCTATCCTCTGGCCTCCCAGACGTCTTCCATGGGGGCTTTCTTTCTGCAGTACTGTTCTTGCCTGCATCTCTCCACCTCCTGAGTTTGTTCCCTGGGACTGGGCTTAGAGTTTCTTCTCTTTCAGGTACCCATTCTTGTTCAGCAGGAGAATCTGGAACAAGCCAGGTGAAGAGATAAGGGCTCTTCGCTTAATCTTGCCGTGACCTGTTCTAGAACTGGGGTGGCTTTTAGTAAGCTGGGTATGGGGACTTATTTTTAAAAGCTGGGTTAAAAAAGGCCTTCCTTTCCCACCTCTGAGTGTAGGTACTTTGAGTGTTCTTGTTTTGCAAAGTCCCTTCTGAAGCTCAGCTCAGTAAGAATAGATCACAACAGATGCCTGCTGATAGCTCATCCTTTTATTGTTGGTTCCCTGGGAGAACTCGACAAGTTGAGTCTTGAGAGAGTTGATCCCAATCAATTGTAGTACCCATATGCCCATCATATCTTTAGGAAAGCATTCCAGGGAGCTGTTACCTTTTTTGTTTGTTTGTTTGTGTAGTTGAAGCATAGTTGAATTACAGTGTTGCATTACTTCCCACTACACAGCAAAGTGACCCAGTTATATATATATACACACATAGTGTGAGTGCTTACTTGTGTCCAGCTCTTTGCGACCCCATGGACTATATAGCCCGCCAGGCTCCTCTGTCCATGGAATTTTCCAGGCAAGAATACTAGAGTGGGTTGCCATTTTCTCCTTCCGGGGATCTTCCCAACTCAGGGATTGAACCCATGTCGCCTGCATTGGCAGGCAGATTCTTTGCCATTGGGGCCACTTGGGAAGCTATGTGTATATATATATATATAGGAGGCCTGGTGTGCTGCAGTCCATGGGGTCAGAAAGAGTCGGATGTGGCTGGGTGACTGAACAGCATACACACATACATGCATGCATATATATATTCTTTCTCATGCTCTCTTTCGCTGTGGCTTATCACAGGACATGGAGCACACTGCCCTGGGCACTACAGTAGGACCTTATTGTTTATCGGTTCTGCATGTGCCAGTTTGCATCTGCTAATCCGGAGCACCCACTCCTGCCCTCTCCCCCTCCTCCCCTGGGGGAGGATGGCCACCAGTCTCTCCTCTGTCCCCGCATTTCTTTCTGTTTCGTAGATAGGCTCGTTTGTATTGTATTTTAGATTCCACATATAAGTGATATCAAGTGGTGTTTGTTCTCTTTCTGACCAGGGAGCTGTGTATGCTCACATGATAGGGTATGAATACCACAAGGCTGTTCTTTTACGTGACCACAAGATGGCAGGCTCCACCCCATAAAAGTCGGTTCACAGTGGTTTCTGTAAAATGACCGAGCGAGGCGTGTGGGTGACATCAGGTTATTGAAAGGATTTTATAGGGTCTGTGTGCACACACCACAAACCACAGTGTGTGCTCAACCACTTTTGGATATCTTCTGTCTCAGTTCTTCCTGTAGGTTATGGGTATAAAGTACGGGTTGGCAAATCAAGACGCACTGGCCAAATCCAGGCTATGGCCTCTTTTTATAAATAAAGCTTTATTGGAACACAGTCACGCCCATTCATTGATGTTTGTCTCTGGCTGCTTTCCCATTTCAGCGGCAGATTTGAATAGTTATAACTGGGATGCATGGTCTGCACAGCAGAAAATACTATCTGGCCCTTTACAGACCTCTCATATAAAGTGTGATTGAAATTGCTCATGATTTGTTCCTTTAAACACAATCACTGTTTTGATGTATTTCTTTCTTTTGAGAAAAGATTTGTGTGTGTCTCTGTGTATATGCATATACACAGTTTGTGAAGTTTTAAGACTTTTTATTAAAATTTTTTTATTTTAAAGATGTGTTTATACATAGGTGCCTATTTTGAGAATATCTGGGTATATTCTGTGTACACAGCCCTACCCTATCCACTGCCCGTACATCCTCCTTCAGACCAGATGCTAAATATACTGAACCTACTATTGTTTAAACCCCATTGTGAAGTGAAAAGTGAAGTCACTCAGTTGTGTCCGACTCTGCGACCCCATGGACTGTAGCCCACCAGGCTCCTCCATCCATGGAATTTTCTAGGCAAGAGTACTGGAGTGGGTTGCCATTTCCTTCTCCCCATTAAAACTTTTTTGTTTTGGAATCATCCTTAGATGACTTATTTATTTATTTGTTTGTTTCCAAATCATATCGGCTTCTCTGGCAGCTCAGACAGTAAAGAATCTAGCTACAATGCAAGAGATCCAGGTCCGATCCCTGGGTTGAGAAGATCCACTGGAAAAGGGAATGGCAATCCATCCCAGTCTTCTTTCCTGGAGAATCCCATGGACAGAGGAGCACCGAGGGCTACAGTTGATGGGGTAGCAAAGAATCGGACACAACTAAGTGAATAACACACACACACAAACCACGTCTTGGAATCGACATTTAAGTATTTGCTCTTAATAATTAAGCTGGATGCTGACAGTTATATTGCTGACTGTGACATGGTTCTGTCCTTCTGCTTTAACATTCTAGTGTAGTTCTTTGTTGTTTTAATCGCTTCACCTTTTACTATTTTGTAGTGATCAAAAACCCTTCAGAATCAAGTGTGTTTGGTTAAGTTAGATAATCAACCTGGTTCAAAAATAACAGTGTGAAGGTAAAGTCACAGTGTGGGTTTTCTGGATGTTTGTTAAGTTGGTTTCAACATTAATAAGTTCCAGAAGCATTCTCAAATGCTCTCAGCAGCTGCAGCTCCATCCCCTTGGCCAGAGAGAAGCAAGACACTCAGGCCCCCCACCTGGGTCCCAGCCTGTTTGCTTTCTGGTTGTTACCATTTCCTGGTTCATGTTTAACAGTGGAAGATAAAAGAGGGGGCAAGTAAACAGGATAAAACAACCTGAAAGATGGTCCACAATGAAGCAGAGATAAAGCAGTGTCCACAGACAGCTGCAGTGACGATGGAAAACAACGGAGAAACTGTATACAATGGGCAGGCTGGACTACAGCCTCAGTCTAAATTTAGAAGTAACTAAAAATAAGAAGCATCCTGAGTGACAGGTTTGAGGTTTGATGCGGAGACCGTTTCAGGGTGCTCATGGTGAGTGTGAGCTCACCAGGACAGGGGGCCTGGCCGTGGCCACGGGCTCCCCGGCTGGTTCCTGTCTACAGGAGGTTTTTCCCGGTGATTGCCCCTTGTAGCAAGTCCAAGTCTGCAAGCTTGGCCCTGATCCTGCCCTGAGAATTCTGATGGAAAGTTGTGGTTAACTTTCAGGGCTGGATTCTTTCTGAAGCCTTTTTCATGGAGAGGTTTGTTTCCTTGATGTGGAAACCTGAGTGCCTAATGGTTTAAGCGTGCTGTGGAACCAGGCTCCTTGGGGATGAGTCCCATGTTTATCTTTATTAGCTTCATGACTTGAACAGATGATGCTTAATCTGTGCCCTGTGACCTCGTGCCTACAGTGGCGATCATACCACGCTACTATCACATGAGGCTGTTGTGCGGAATGAGTGAGTAATTGAAGTGTTCAGAATAAGTCCTAGGAGGTGCTCAGTGAATACGCATTCAACACACAGAGTCTTCCTGGTGACGGGAAGGTTCTCTGACTTGTAACCAGGGGCTGCTGGTTGTGATTCTCCTTACTACTCTAACAGTTATATTGCTGACTGTGACATGGTTCTGTCCTTCTGCTTTAACATTCTAGTGTAGTTCTTTGTTGTTTTAATCGCTTCACCTTTTACTATTTTGTAGTGATCAAAAACCCTTCAGAATCAAGTGTGTTTGGTTAAGTTAGATAATCAACCTGGTTCAAAAATAACAGTGTGAAGGTAAAGTCACAGTGTGGGTTTTCTGGATGTTTGTTAAGTTGGTTTCAACATTAATAAGTTCCAGAAGCATTCTCAAATGCTCTCAGCAGCTGCAGCTCCATCCCCTTGGCCAGAGAGAAGCAAGACACTCAGGCCCCCACCTGGGCCCCAGCCTGTTTGCTTTCTGGTTGTTACCATTTCCTGGTTCATGTTTAACAGTGGAAGATAAAAGAGGGGGCAAGTAAACAGGATAAAACAACCTGAAAGATGGTCCACAATGAAGCAGAGATAAAGCAGTGTCCACAGACAGCTGCAGTGACGATGGAAAACAACGGAGAAACTGTATACAATGGGCAGGCTGGACTACAGCCTCAGTCTAAATTTAGAAGTAACTAAAAATAAGAAGCATCCTGAGTGACAGGTTTGAGGTTTGATGCGGAGACCGTTTCAGGGTGCTCATGGTGAGTGTGAGCTCACCAGGACAGGGGGCCTGGCCGTGGCCACGGGCTCCCCGGCTGGTTCCTGTCTACAGGAGGTTTTTCCCGGTGATTGCCCCTTGTAGCAAGTCCAAGTCTGCAAGCT